TTTTTTTTTGCTGCAAGACCCCACGTAACTTTTCAACATTAAAATCGTCTTTCTAAAAATCACAAAAATGTTACTTATACTTACCTCCTTCATTCGCTGGAGCTTCAACCTACCCTTTGGTACACCAAATATTCATTCATAAAATGTGAAGTGAAAGTACGTATCTGTCAGTGCTTTATAGAAAGCACACATAAAGAATGTATTGAGGAATGCGACTTCAAGTATTTTTACATGCGCGTACACCGCTCTTTGAGACCTTAAAAATCAAACTTAAAAAAATCAGTTTTTCGCTAAAAACTACGGAAAACGGCCTTCTGGTACGCTGTAATTTTCAAAAATTTTCCGGGGGGGACCCCCGAACCCCCCGCCTTCCTGGGGGGTATTCCATACCCCCCAGACCCCCCGGCGTGGGGGGCGCCAAAATCTGGGTTTGCACCCCCCTACGTGAAACGTAGATCCGGCCCTGCCTTCTCATTCGTTTTGAAACATCAATAAAAACCATCAGGTGAAATTGCCGGAGGGGGAGGGGTGCATAAGACGCGTTTACCTACTCGTGTTGGATAATTTTTTTGCGAAAGCCCTCAACACTGCCTACTGGCAAAATTTCACGGAACATTGCGCGAAAGTTAAGTTCCGTAAACATATCTCTATGTGGACAAGGTCCTCCATTTATAAGAAATGAACCAAAAAATTATGAAAGAACAAACATAAATGCGGTTGAATATAATTTTAACCTCCGCCGCTGCGCCGGGCTGATCGCACTGTGTTTGGCGCAATGCGTGAAGTATTCCTGCAGTCTTGTAGGCGCTATGCGTTTCACGCGGTCACGTCAACCGCCCCTGACTGACCGCACTGTGCTTGGCGCAATGGGTGAAGTATTCATTCAGTCTTGTAGGCGCTAATATGTGTTATAAGTCAACCGCCGTGCCGAGGGCTTGTCCTTTTCATCTCAAGTCCTCGTCGTCAATCCTCTCTGCGCTGTGCTCCAGGCCAAATTGCGTATTTAATTCCTCTCTTAACTCGACTAATTAAAGATGCTGTCTCTTGTATCACCGAAAAACGGCAATATTAGAAATTACTATACTCTCAGGAAAGATAGATTTTGTCCCCTTTTCTCATTGATAATTTTTTTTTTCCAAATCCGATTTTTTTTTATACCTACCTTTAAAAAAATTGCAAAATTTGCCGCCACGGGCTACCCCCTTAATCCGGCCCTGCACTCGAGTGACATAAGATGGAAGGGACTTCAACAGCTAACATCTCGGCCAACTTGAGAAACGCACTCAATGATGTTGATAATATCGCCTTATACAGCTAATCGAACTCTATGGACACGCGTGTTGCATAAAATAAAATGGAAGGCGCTGATGTTCAGTCACTCTATTCCGGGAGGCAGTCTCCGCCAGAGAAAACATACATGCCGCAGCGGCGTTTGGCGCGCCCGCGCCCCGCGCCTTTAGGAATACGTGACAGGATGAAATTCTCTGGTAAAAACAGAAGCAAGAGCACAGGAGAGAATTTTTTTGTACCATTTTTACAAATTAGAATAATAGATATCCCACCGCCGCGCATGAAGTCGTAAGTTGGTGACAGGGTGTGGCTGCGAGCACTTCCATGGGGGAGGGGGGGATGGAATGGCCGGAGCTCCTACAATTTTTAGCATGCAACACGGATGTCAACGGGGCACGAATAGTTGCATCAAGGCGTTAATACCGATATCAATGACCTATGCTCGGATATAAATACTGAAGTGTTAAGAAAAAAAGCTGTGTGAACACTCAAATGTTGCCTTTCTTCCAATTGAAAATTGAGTTGAAAAGACTCTGAAACATTCCATCATTTTAAACAATGTATTACTTGAGCCTTGGTTGCTCATTATCAGGGGTATGTTCTGGAGTGAAAATGTTAACATGAATTTAAAACAGACAAAAATAATACACTCAAAAAAAAAAAAATAAAAACTATTAGATACTTAAATTCAGAATATTTATTAGATTTTCACATAATCTTTGACGTACCTAAGTTATAAAAACTTCACTGCACATAAATCTGTATGGGTATTTAAAATATTCGAGAGGTACTCATACAAAAAAAATTTAATTAAGATTTAATAATACATGATCATTGGATCAATGAGTGACTAAAAACCAACAGTGAAAATACATTACAGTTTGCAATTAACACTAGGTGCCTACTTCATAACTTGCTAGACCAGCCACATAAGTAAACGAATGCACTAGTTTTATGATTATCAAAATTCTATGAGGCTCAATATTCAAGTTTTTAATTAACTAGTAATTTGGTGATGGTGGAGTATTCATGGGTTCGGATGATTAAACAAGGTGATTAATTTTGATAATTTTGGTGAGATATAAAAGCAATTGATTCCACCCATCTTTCAGTTATTAAAATCTGCTCTTCATATTATCAGAGGGCCAGAAAATCTGAACATTATCCCTACTACCCTGTGCACCAACTTCTTCATTCTTGCTGCTAAAAAAAAGTCATACAATAAAGACTTATTTTTTTCTTTTTTTTAATTGAAAATTAATAGACAATTTTTAAACATGAATAAAAAACTATCTCAACCGATCAACCTCAGAGGAGAAGTTGTTCAGCTTTTAAAACTAACTCCAAAAGGAAGTATATCCGAGGAAATAACAGGGCCGGCATGAACATAGGACAGCAAAGAAACAAATGCCGGTTCCAGAGCTATCCTCGCCAGCTAAATAGGACAATTTACTCCTCAGCACTTTTATTATGATATGTTTTAAAGATTCCCCTAATAGTTTATGTTCTTGGATTTAAACTAATTCAAATATACTCTTTCTGACTTGTTGAAAATAATTATTTCTGATACCTCTGACTGACAGCTTAATAAGAGCAAGGATTCCTTCCAAAATTCTGGATACATAACTCAACAATAGTTTGTTTTAAGAGGTGAAAAAAAGAGATTCAATATAAAATCTGAAAGATTTTTTTTCTTTTTTGCATCAACATGGAGCAGTGACTGAAGGATGTGCAATGATGAAACACTGGTAAAACTGACAACTTCAATAGCATACTTTCACAGTTGATAACCATTACCTACGTTAAATTAAAAGGTTTAACTTTTGACTATCAGAGAATCCATTTGTATGAACATTTTCTCACAACCTTCAGTACTGCCAAGTAAGATGTAATTACATGTAGCATTGACTAATGAAACTTGTGAAAAAAAACACACATCCAACCAAATAAAATCAAACTAGATAATTAAGATGCAAGTACCAATGAAATTCACCTCTTGGTGATTTAACTCTGGGTTCTTTCAGTGAAAACAAATTTGCTCTCACACCTACAACACAATACGGTCAGAGAAGGGACTTGAACTGCCAAAAAAAAGATGAAAAAAGGGGGAAGAAAAATTAAATTCACTGATTGGACAGTGAATCAAAGCTGGCGAAAATAACTAATCAGGTAAATAAAAAAAAAAAAAAAAAAAAAAAAAAAAAAAAAAAAAAAAACCGAGTTAGGATTTTAATTTTATGAGGCTGATCTTTGAGTAAAGTTTTATTAAAAAACCCCACTATCCACCTGATCAACAAAGATTCATATGAACTATCTAAAAAATAATTGGAGAGATGTACATTATTCAAATTAGGTAACATGTTGATTGTTGAATAAAAATAATTTGACAGAAATTTCAGAACGGAAAAATTGTGAGTACATCAATTAAACGCTCGAGGAAAGTTGACTTGATTAGATATTTTTTTTAGAAATTGAACCCATTCTCATCAGAAGTGAACACGTCATAAAATTTCAAGATTGATTTTATTGCTGATTCAAATCTAAAAGTTCCGCAAAGTATAGGATACGAAAAAAGAACAAAACAAAAACAAAAAAAATTGCCAAAATAGCCGGTTAAAACTGTTAATTCTGGTTAAAACAGGCAAAAGTCCTGAAAATGTGCCTTTGGAACAATCGCTAAGTTCTCAAAAATGGGCTGGCAGATCAGATAGCAATCATTACAAAGAATGTGAATCTGCCGATGGGATATTAAAACAGTTTAACAATCCTCCACTCCTGTACCAATCATTGAGATGATTGACTAAAGAGTTGGATCCCTCTCAATAAAAAACAAAATGAAATGGGTACAAAATAAGTCTGATCATTCTAAACCATTTTTAAAATTCAAAATTGTTAAAGGAGAACAAGTCTAGAGAAAAAAACTCTTGATGATTCAAGAGCTAACCGTTGGCTTAATAGGCATCATTTGCAAAGCCGAATACAAACATCTTCACTGATAACTCATCCATTTGGGGGTAAGCGATGAACTGTGAAATTCTCTTCTGATTTTACTTTCAGTACCTTCAACATGTTCCATTTGAGAGAAAATGGGTTCAACTGTTGGAGCATTACTTGTTGTTGGAGCCCTGTTTTCCTAACAGCCTGGGATGATGCCTCCCATAATTCATAACCTGCCAAATATTCCTACAGGAATTTGATACTTGAGCAAGAGGGCAATTATCTAATTTATTCATTCCTAAAGAAATATTAACCTTTAAAAAACGGCAAAAGAATAAAAAATTGTTACGAGGCATTGCAACGTTGCGTTTCTGGAAAAACAGGGCAAAAAAAATTATCCAAAAAGTTCACTATTCACCAAAAATGAGCGATAAAATCAGCTAGTTCAATACTATGCATACTCTGAAAATGAACATTCCCACCTTAGCAAATAGGCTACTTAAAAGTGAATGCCCCCTTCTTTTAGGGGCATTTATCTTCCGCATAGAAAGGTTAAGATGGAAAAACAAAAAATTAGCATACTTGGACTCACAGTGGTTACTTCAAATACTTTCTGTTAAAAAATTCTTATTGCAATATATTATGACAAAAATAAAGAGAAAGTAAAATAACTGAAGTTTAAGATTGCATTCAATACAAATTTCTAAACTGAAGCGAGCTCCAGAAAAATGTATAACCACAATGACTGACTCAATGATTGACTAGAGACTAAAGATGAGGAAGTCAACCGAATACTTAATCTAAAAATCATTAGACTGAAGATGCAAACATCTAATTACGGAAAATAGCTTAGAGTTCCTACAAAGCTAGAGAGAAAATAAAAGTATAACAAACATAGAAGAAAAATTGATAACAAAAAAAAAAAAAAATGAAACACTAGGTCCCCAGCATAGGAAAAATTCAACTCGGAAGATTCATACAGGAGACAATGCAACTGATGAACCAAGAATAATAGACATAACTAGAATAAACGCAAAGCAAATTCCTAACTGGTAAAATAGCAACGCAGCATAGTGGCGAAAATCTTTGACCAAAACGCAATGCCATTACTGAACTTGGGCTGAAGCTATGGACTTTTTTCATTTTCCTTCTTTCATAGAATACACCAAAAAATGAAAATTAAAAACGAAATAAAACAAAAAATTGTAAAAGTAGGAATGACAGCCGGCTCTTGTTTATTCTAAGAGCTCTGACAAGTTCTGAAAAAAAAAGATTGAAAATTTTGCTTTGTAATGAGCGAATTTCAACAAAACGTTTTGAACATTTTACAAGGTCAAATCATACTTTTTTTTATTTTCTCTTTTTATCCATGCAAGGACTGAGCTTGCTTCTTAATTATTTGTATTCCTTTTATCTCATTAACAGTTTTTGACACATTCACTGTCAGGCAGTTTTTTTAATAATATTTCGAACATCATTAAGGATTAGAGAGTGTGTCAAGTCCACCTCTCTCATAAGGGTTGATTACTGATGAAAATTTGAAGATACATACGTTCTATCATTTTTGACTCGTTATTTCATAGAAGGCATAGATGCGGTCAACACTGGTAATAACATCCATTCAAGACTATTAATGCAGTTTCAATTTGAGTCTTTCATGTTAAGGCACTTTTCAAAGGTCTTAATCTGAAAGAAATACTTTCGCAGCAGATGCCCTTAGCGAATTTCAATCAGAATTACTTTACTACCCTCCTAACAGTGGATATGTTAAAAAAAGTTTATTATTTATCAGCTTCCAAATTTAAACGATAAGCGGTCACTCAATAATTAGAGGTAACCTGAGAGGACCATATGCTCAAAAATAAGAAATTTGGTGACTAGAAAATTCTTGACAAACATGTCATTGAGCACAGGCACAGAGCTAAATTAATTATATTTTCGTGCATAAGCGGTAATAACACAACTAAAAATAAAATTACTCAAACTAGAATTGACTAGATTCACAACAGTTCCGTTTACAAGCTGTTTTGAAAAAAAACATGCATTAATAGAGAGGCTTTACCCTTACATCATTAATTAAAAACAATCACTTCAATTGGTTTCAAACGTGAACATCCCTCGGGCTCCCCTGATAATTTTCCCATACATAAACCTTGGGAAAAGGGAGCATTTTCATAAGAGCAATTACAGTTTGCCTTTGAATATCAGTGATCGAATGCTATTCCCCCAGTAAAATCAAACATCTAACATACTGTGCAAAAGAAGTTTTTTGAAAAGGTGAACAACATTAAAACCTTCCTTACTTTCAAAACACTTCCCCCTCCCCTCCGAAAACTACAGAGACAGACAAGGAAAAAGGAATCGGGATGACAATCACATTAGTAGTTCATGTCTCTTAATAATTGCTCCTATGAAGACTTCCAGCTCAGGTCTGATATTCACGAAGGACACAACAGTGAATTAAGCAATAGGAGGGTTACTCAAGTGCCACCGCTCAAAAGATAAACTGTAGGAACATAAACGTACGTCATCCTGATAGAAAAATACATACCTATGTCGAAAATTTAGATGAGTTTGAAGAAAACTTGGCAACAATAAAAACGGAAAAACAAAGATAGGCAGATTTTAGGGTTTCTGGCATAATAAATCTGGTGCCTCTTTGATTGAAACAAGACAAACTTTTTTGAAAGCACAAAGAAGTCTCTGTTGATTTAAACACAACACCATTCCAATTGGCAACGATTTTAAAAATGAATACTTAAATTTGTTGTTCACTTTAGTAACTACCTCAGTGAAATAAAAAAATAAGAAGGAATAGAAATGTTCACTGATTACTCCTTGCATACAAATATTCATAACTCTCACAAATTCTATTGCATTTCCCTTTGCGACCACCGGAAACTAAGTGGACACTTCAAACTTTTGACAGAAAAAAGACATGAATGAATAGACTAGTTCTCTAGACTACAATTACTACCACTAAACACTAAAAAAGAGAAAATTTCTCTTTCCAATTTTTAGGAAACATTTCAAAACATAATTTCGTTATCTCTAAAATAAGAGAGATTATCTTGATTATCTTGACCTATGAAACCCTTATGAAGCCTTTTATATCGCAGTGGGGGAAGAGAGGAACTGAGCGTTGGACAAGAGGAAAAAATCATGCTTTGGTCAATACCATTAGACAAAGACAGTCTCACACTGTACACTTAAAAAAGAGATATGAAAAAGATTTTACATTCTATAGCACCTAAAATATTACAGTTTTGGAAATCCAGCAAAATCCTCTGGAAGCAAGAATTAAAATAGAATTACAACAGAATTCACTTTTAGTTGATGTGGTTCTACGGCCTAAGAAAAAAATGCCCTAATTTTATGGGAAGAGTGGTATTTCAATCGCCCAAATGAGCATTGTTGCTGAACTTAACTGACCCATTTATACTGACATCAAAAACATTAGAGTGCCGCTATAGGTCTGTACAGATCATTCATGCACTTATTAGTGTCTAATTTTTGCTAAAGTTTTTGCCAGCACTTCAAAAAAAACACTAAATCCTCTCTAAAATTCTATGCTGGAATTCTCATTGGCGGTTACGGCGGTGTTAGCACATTACCTTTTCATTATGCTTACAACAGCTACATTTATACAAGCCTTTCAATACAGGTTGAATGCAAAATTTGCAATAAAAATCAATAAATGGATGTTGAAAACCTTCCAAATAACACTTTTCCATAGCTTTAACCGTAAGATTCACTTCCAACCAGGGTTCATAAAAATGCACACTTTTTAGATCTAAATCCAACCAGAATTGATAAAATACTGATGAGAATCAAGAGTTCATAAGAATCGTCTTTTTTCTATGCGTGTTACGTAAATATTCTGTAACCTGCATTTATAGCTGCAGATTGAAAAAGCTTGTAATAATGTAACTAATGATTGGTGGATGATTACGATTACTTCAAAGTCGATTCACAAGTAAAGCAATTACTGCCTAAAAACTTGCTGTCAAACAACCCTGGTCGCCTGGAATCTGTAGCGCAAGACAAAAGACATCACGGTCTATCACTTGTGACCAGAGGAGTAAAAAGTGTATTCAGAGCCAGCAACATAGAAAAATGCAGGGAGAAATTTAAAGATTGCTCATAGACAGGCACTGAAAAATGACCGCTTACTATTGCATAGAGACTATAGGTCGACAATTTTTTTTCAATCAATCTAGCAATGTTTCTCAGCATAAAAAATTCTCTTTGCACCCATTAGTAGCAGCTTGAGAAATAAAGACAAAATGTGCAACAATGGAAAGAAATAAGCGTATTCAGAAAAAATATGAAATAAAAACTGCTTTCAATTCACACAAAACTTCGGATTATACGGATCAATTTAAAAAAAAAACACGCGGTTGAGATGCCGGAAAAAGCAGTCCTTGGTGTTACAAGTGTTATGTCATGGTACATACTAACATTCAAATGTCGATGTAAGATTGGTGTGAAGAGAGCACAGTCTGATCATTATTGCGTGCATGTCTGCCAAACAAAGGCATGTATTCACTGAAAGTGGTACATACCACATTGCTAAATATTGATTTCTCTGACCACTATCCTGATATTTTAATTATCATTGGTCCTGTCCAAATTAAGCCGGATTATCAAAAGTTTTGTGCAACTGAGAGATTTGAGAGTTGAAAAAAAAAATTAGAAACAGGAGTTGACTAACAATTGCTACAATGATTAACGAGACTCAGAAAACAATATTTTCTGAAAAGAACAGATACGGACACTGAGTTCGAAAATGTGACAACTTGGCTTCGTAAGGGGGCTGAAAAATGTTCCGTTCCCCACTGAGTTCCTCTAACTCTGAAGAAAATTTCGACAGCAACTTTTTTCTACCAAAGTTTTTCAAGTTTCTTGGTTTTAAAAACTAGATTGCTCTATCAAAAAAAAGAGAGGTTTACATGCTTCAATGGCCCACAATAGTGTATCCTATTACAAATATGGGTACTCACACAGCTAAAAATGGATTACATTTCAGTTAGAGTCATTAAAAATAATGTGCAATCAAATGAGTAACACTGCAATGTCTGGTCCAAATTTATTTTAAATTTTGGTCGTTTTATAGTAGTTCATAGGTTTTGGTATTGGCGTCATAGGTATTGGCGCTGTAAATTTTACCTTTGCAAAATTTCATTGAGATTTATTGGTTGATATTCGAGAGATGTATTTCAGAGTCATATGCTGATCCATTTCTCCTACACATGATTCCTTCTCAGCCAACCGAATTTGTGCTGTGAAAATGGCTTGATGTGTGCTCAGAGTAAATCTCAAACTGCACCTCCGCGCACCTCCTAGACTACATATTAGCTCTCATCTCATAAAAAAAGCATGTGAGTAACCAGTTTTGCTTCTAGGTTACCTTGGCCCATAAAATGTGGCAAATGTGGCAGAGGGAAGTCTCATATCACTTGTCAACTTCACTGATTTTGGAGGCAAGGTAACTTTATAAAATTACTGAATTCTAAAAAAGCAAGGTAAGAACTAACATAAGTTGGTACAAACCTTGACAGAAAAGCTTTTTAGAGTAAATTCTGAAACAGGGGAAAGCGGCCAATTTATACAAGTTTCTTGTTGGTTTTTTTAGTTTTTGTAGGACTTGATGGGGTGTCAGTGGAGTTCTTGATTGTTTTCTTGGTTTTTGATGGGGTTGATGTCACAAACAAGTACTCGTCCGGGAATTCATAGATGCAAGTAAAATGAAAGGCCATGTTTGAGGCTGCCACCACATATTCACATGCAGCAAACCAACTAAACGCTGTTGAAACAAAAGTCTCTCATTAAAATTCTGCCTAGGAGAAAGCAATATATAACAGGCTTTGCATATTGTGCATTAAGGGGAGGATTTTGAAAATATCTGACAGGTCTTATTATTCATGTTCCCTTTCACCCCTAAAAAGTCTGCTCGATTAGGGAGTTCATTCTCTTCAGTGCAACAGACCCAATGGGTCTGTTGCGCCAAGAAAAAGACCATTTAAATTGGATGAATATTCCAGAATTGAGACATTCATTCAATTTAAATGGTCTTTTTCTTTAATTGTATGTATCTCACATTTAATAAGTTAAGAGTAAGCTCACTTTACAGCAGAATATTGTTTAGCCATTATTTTCAATTTTTCTAACCATTCCGTGTTTTTGGAGACAAACCACTTCTTGTTTCCAAGAATCTCAGTTGGAGAGAGAGAGGTGTGGGCAAAAAACTCAGGCCGGTGATGTTCTGCCTGGGTTTTTGGCCCACACAAAACTCTTCAACCGAGATTCTCAAAAGCAAAGCAGCGCTTTGCCCCAAAAAGTGAAAATATTGGTTTGTAATTTCTGTTAAATTTTTTAGCTAATGAGTCAGTTAAGCTCAGGAGGGATTTGCCTGCAAGTAGTCGAATCTTACAGCTTTCGGTGCGAGACGAACGATGTGCACATTAAAATTTCACGAAAAATTGTCTCCGCCGAGATATAATGCTTCTTTTTTAGGGGTCCTCAAAAACATGTTTGAACCGACCACCGTGAATCTTCAAATCTACGTGTGATAGACGGGAAGATGGCTGCAACGAAGCCAACCTGCTTACTACCGCCATGCCACCGTTGTTGACATCACGATTTCTCGTTTGAGATTAAGTAAGTTCTGAGTGAATGTTTCATATCCTATATAAATCTGTATTGCATTCTGATTGAAAAGCTTAAAGAATTAAGAACAATGGGTATAAATCTCAAACACAGTAACCAACATAACCTCCAATTGACCAACAAAAACACACCGCCAACGCGTCACCGCCGTGTATTCTTCCACTTCCCATTCTGCCGCCATATTGATTGTGACGTATACATTCGAAACCTACGAGCGCGCAGTTCAAACGCTGTTTTAGGCCACCCTAATTTTTGGCACTTTCAAATAATTTTTTCTCCAGTTTGCAGTCATCAGAAAAAATTAGGAAGAAAACTGTAAGCTTCGGTCACTCACTACTTTCGAATGACACAATAAAAAAAAATGACTTGACTGACTCATTGACTGTGTTGTAAAATTATTAATGTAAATAGTGGACTTGCCTATCCATTGTTTGAAAATAAAATATTAAATGACAAAAAGTTAAGAGTAATCTTCTCAAAATGAAGCAATTTGATCAGATTCTTGAGATAACTAAATTTTGATGCACTATGGAAACTCAGTCACAATCTAGAGTCAAGAGCAATCTCTATTATATGGCTGAAAGCCAAGGTTGCAAGGTAAATAATTCCTGAGCCAGAAGCTCCTCCTTAGCATGCTCAGCCACAGCCTCCTCCTGTGCTAGCCTCTTTCCCCATACTGCCTTCCTCTAAATACACTCTCTTACAGCGTAAACATATCTGTGCACCGCCACAGCCATGCGCCACCAGGCGCAGTTGTCAATGAGGAAATCTTTGCCAGTCCCTGAAATTGTATGCAACTTTTTGTGGATGTCACAAGAATATGAAAGTGATTCGTTTCTAAAACTTCCTCCAGCTCTTTGAATTTTCTCCAATTGCAAATAAAATGAATGTGGTTTGAGGTGAGCCGCAATCACCTGCAGAGCGAGTAATAGGGGGTCATGGGTCGGGGGGTTGCTTCTCAACTAGCTTTGGGGGATATGCTTGGTACGTCCTCCACGGCTGTATAAATTGATAAATAAATAGATTTGATTATCATTTTTATTTGTTTAAATACTATTCCCTTTTCTGTTGTATTTATTATGGTAATTGTTTGGCTTATAAATATTATCTTTCCAAATAAGTTTAAATTTTTAATGAATCACATATATCTTATCATTTCTTTAATATTGGTGTTAGTTTTATCGATTCTAAATTCTCTGTTAGTTTCAATTATAGTTGTTATAATTAAAATTATGATACCAGAATTAGTTTTTCTGCAATTGATAAATAAATCACATCCTTATTTAATTAACTAACTGTGGGGGATGTGCTTGGTGGGTCCTCAACGGCTAGCAATTGTGATAAAACTGGAAAAAGTTTGTGAAAGCACAAGGCATAGAGTATAGTTGAATTTTTTGGTAAAATATAAATACATACCTAAATTATGACATAATAAGCGATGTTGCATAAAAAATATGACAAGACCAACAGTGCAGATGATTGAAAGAGTGAAGAAAGTTCTTTTCCATCTGTATGATTTTTGGTTGACTTGATTCATCTCTGGATGTGTGATTCGGAACAGTTTAAGCGTAAACAGCATGTATGTTAGGGAAGTAGTCATGAAAGTTATGAATAACTTTTCATGAATAGCTGTAACAAACAAACACAAAATTACAACTAAATTAAAAAGACAAAAATTGAACTCGCAAATTCTTTACCATCTGGAATCGTTATTTTAACTTTGATGTTAGAATCTAATATCTACTGTTCGTTTTTAGATCTATCAAAGCTTTTTTAGTGGTTCACTGCACTTTAAAAGCCAAGATTTTCATACTCTTTCCTCAGTCGGACTCCTGTGGTGTCTTCGTAGCACTGTCATTAAAAACAGGAGGACTTAGGTTCGATTCCCAGCCATGTTTTCTTAGTTAGATGGTTTCAGGCAATAGGAACGGGGGGCATTGGTAGATCCAGAAATTTAGCACCACTAGCTTTCCTCAATTTAAACCTATGATAAATAATCGATTCTAGTTGGAGCAACTGCCCCCTCTGAGAATCGATTCATTTCCACAGGATTAGATGGAAAAAAACAATGTTGCCGAATTACTAGATCCTCCATTGACCCGGGTTGCGTGTAAGAGGACTAGGGGATTAAATGTGTCATTGACCCAGAAGGCTATTGGAAATTTGGTAACGGAGACAAAGTTTTTTTTTTTTTTTAAAAGAAAAATGCTCCTCAAAAACAGAAAGAGAATGATTCTTGACAACGGACACCTACAATATAAGGGCATGAAAAAAATATGTTCTGGTTAATATCTTCCAAAACTAACGATAAAATCAGATTAATCGATACAGCAACTCCTCATTTTGTATTGACTCAGTTAAAAATGCTGTATACCGTAATGCTTATTCAAGATGCAGTGATCATGCATCGGTGTAGCAGAAAAATGTGAAGTCTCATAAATGACATGATAAATCTAAAGCTTTCTGCAAATAGCATTTTAAGAGCTCTCTGGCAAAAATTCCACTTCAAATCTTGGTTAGATATAAAGCACACAGCTAATATCTATCAGAACTTGTGAAATGGCTGCAGCTTTCAAAAATTAAGACGAGAGAGGTATAAGTTTCTGCTTAATAGGAGACTAGTTTCAGGCTCATTGGTTGCCTTCAGTCCCCGATATCTCTCTTCAAAGCGTTGGCGGAGCATTAGTCAAGCCATCAACCTGATACGAACGTTGTGATTGTCTCTGTCTGTGATTGTCTCTGTCTGTGATTTCCCCAGTGATTTTTCCTGATGATAATCATCACAGAAGATGGCGAACAAATCTGAAACTAGTCTCTTGATGCTCTCTCTAAACTTGAGGCTTATGTCTCTTAAATTTCAATATTTGAAAGCCACAGTACAGGTTCTGACACCTATTAATTGTACTTTTTTTACACACCTAAGTTGGGAATGGAATTTGTACCAGCGAGTTTTCAAACTGCTCAGTGTAGTGAAGCTATCATTTTTTCATGTTTTGACATTGTTGAATTGGTGTAGTTGCTGGATTGCTATGGATTGTACAATTTTGCGAAAATTAATGAAAGTTAAAAAATTCAGTGACGTTTATTCTAGAGCCATTCTAAAAACTTTTACCGGAATTAAAGTATAAAATGTATTTCCAGGGAATTTAGAGTTATGAAAAGAATTCAAGAGACTTCAAAGTGATACAACCAAGATTTTGGACATGCCTGTTTTGTTTTAAGTTTTGACGGAGTTGTTCTTTTTACTTGGGACACCGTTGATTTTTTACATCCATGAACAACATTTAGAACTGACTGATTTATAAACTAATTGAAAACAAGAGACCAGATATAAGAATATACACATAAAATGATACTAACGGTAATTATCAATGTTGGAGATATAAGTGACACCAGCTAGAGAGAAGATTTCAACAACATTTAACCAATAGCAAACAGTTCGAAGAATCTGGCCCATGTCGCGTGACGCTTCCACATCTGTAAGCCGTTCTCCATAATAAGTGTAGTACAGAGACGCTAAGAGTAACCTTGGAGCCAAATGCAGAGCGATACTTGCTCGCCACAAGTAGCGTTGAGGGCTGACACCTGTCACCGCGCTGATTGAAGGAACTATATTAAAAACCTGAAAATTTTTTGCCGTTAATTAGATGAATTTACAATCATGCATGAGAAATGAGTATTTTGTAGGATGAATCTTTTGTTGTATTTTTAATGTCAGTACTTGATGCACACATATATTTGTACGTACTTGAACTAAGAACCTTAGTCATCACTTAGAATGATGCACCATCCTGTTGTTAAATAAGAATTGAGGATTGAGCATAGGAAACCACTGAAATTTGTGTAATTTTCTTCTTTCAGTTTCTTGTACTTTAAAATATTCAGATAAATTGCTAAGATTTAATTTCTGCACAAAAAACTGTCAAGAACAGTGGGGTGATTTATGGTTCAAAAACTTATGAAAAAACTGAAAACTCAACAAAATTATGACTTACCCTACAATGAGTTTCATGTACATCATCAAATTGATAAATAACTGCTGTGATAAAACAAGTAAAAAGTGCTATCAGCGGGCACGCAACAGTGAATATTGCAAGTTTTGATATGCTCAAGGAATAGAAAACATTAAGACTGTCAGCAACCCTTAAAAACTTTTCTGTGAGATCTATGGTATCCATTGCAATTTTTCTGCAAAAAAAAAGAGAGAAATGATTAGGAAAGCAATGCTAATATTTAAATCTGCTGGAGGGAGGAGAGATAGCTAATAACACACGGAGTAAGTTCTACTCTACATACTTGAAAACTAAAATGACTGGGCGTAACTTGAAGGGCTTGGTTAAAGAAAATTAGTTCTGAATTGGGGATTTTTGTCTACTGTGTGATTTGAAACTTGCAGATTCTGGTTAGGAAGAGAAGGCTTGACAGAGAATAAAATGAAATTATTCTGGAGAATTTACTGAAAATTTTTCTGGAAATAATTATTCCATCTATGTCCCAGCTATTGTACTGTTCTCATGGGTTTAAGTAAGTAATTCAAAGAGAGATGTTCGCTTAACGGACATTTACAATTTAGAACAGGGGAGAGAGGGGGAACTTTCCTTAGATAGAAAGTTGATTACTATGAGTGAGTTGTTCACAAAGAGAGCTCTGTATGGATCTTTCATGGTATTTCTTATGAATACTTAAAAAACTTGGCAAAACGTGGACATACACAGTAAATGAGTCTGGGGCATCAAGCAGCAGTATCAATAATGGAGACTGAGTATTAACCTTACATGGTGTTAGATGAAATTTATGGTTTTTAGAAGATACTACCAACTATTCGGATGTTGTCAAAGATAATAAAAAATATTTTAACTTTTTACAGAATAACACAAAACAGCACTCATGATAATCATTAGTGAAAATGACAACACAGGTTAATATATCATCAGTGCTGGGTGTATCAGACACTTGATATACCTACTTCAAATCCCATAAAATGATTAAGATAAAGGCATTTAGATTTCAACAAGCCCTAATTCACCAAACGTTTTGATGAAACTATCCACCATACAGTGCCAGTTAAAACCATTTAACTACAATTTCTTACTGATTGATTGAACATTTGAAATTTTGGGAAGGGAAAATATATTTTCTAACTCAAGATTAGAGTATTCTTTCCAAAACAGAACTTTGAAAATATAACGGACAAATTGCATTCTGTGATCTACCATTCAAAAATATGAATAAAAATCCAATCATTGGACCAAGGTGTGATACTCGGCAATATCATGATGCAGATTCAACTTTCTGAAAGACGAAAATCAGTTGTAAATTTCACGGGTGAACTTTTCTTTAAATTTGGTAGAATGTTTGGGATTAGTTCAACCGGGCTAAAATTTCAAAGATACAAATGAGAAGTCAACTTTTTTTTAAGAATTACTCCTGCCATTGCGTGATGCAAAAATTAGATTAAGTAAGTATTCAATGAATGTAATGAGTCCCACTGTTTTGTTTACTCACCAAAAACAGCTGCATCAATGGACTAAGCTCAATCCAATCCTTTACGATTGTCTGTATTACTCCTGAGGAGGGTGAAGTACATTGGAACTTGCTTGCTTTCTATAGTTCTTCGATGCACAGGAGCTGCCATTATATCACGTGGCTAGATTACCAAAATTCAAGTTTTAAAGATTACGATTAATCTTTTCAGCTGGAACAGCAGACAAAAAAAAAAAATCAATTGCAACCACACCGATAGTTTTTTTATCAGCCTGATACTGTGAAAGGGCATAACATTATTTCGCTAATTACTTATTTGCTTTACTTAATATTTTCTGTTCTGGATGGTACACAAAGACGCGCATTGACGGTGTAAGTCCGCAACCACACATCTCAGTTTACGGCGTAGCAGACTTCCTATCATACTTTACTTTGTAAATGGAAAACTACTCAATGGCAATTCCTAAAAACTGCCATGATTTGTCTTCTCTATGCAAAGAAAATTCTGTAAAGACTTCATGGAAGAATGTTGATTTGTTCTCCTTTAAATAAATAAGATAGTAGCAGAGATTTTCAAACACTGCAAGATACAGGATGGACTTACGCCTTTGACATGTCAATATACCTTTGTGAGTAGACCTAAAAGATTCAAACCAAAATTTTTGTAAAATTCAAGATGCAATATACCTTCCTTCAACCTCAAGGAATTAAAAATAATACTCCCCTACAAGTAAAATCAAAAATTGTTGAGAAATAATACCACTGATGAATGATACTACATGGACCTCTCTGACCAACTGGGCATATTTCTTTGACTTGGAACATAATGGACCAAAACAATTGAACAAGCATCTTTAACGTAAAAAGTTAGAAAAATTTGCTTTGACAAAAAAAGATAATGTATGGGCCTCTGGAAAAAACACCATCAAAAACAGGTCAGATTCTCAGAGTCAAAAGAAAACTAGAACACACAATCGAAGAAAGTTGCCAAGTTCGAGGGCACAATAATTTGCTCAAAAAAGTATAGACGCATGATAATATACATCATGTGGTGCTTGCCCGCTGGATAATTAAAATGTATTATGACCTGAGATTGATCAGTTAGGTTCTTAAAATGGATGTAAACAGGGAGCACACAACTTATCAGTAAGTAGTTGACATTGAGATAAAATACCAAGACTTTCCTATCATCGGTAAATCGCAGTATGTAAGCTCTTCAGGGCATTGTCTCATATTAGCTTCCACTTCTACAGCATTGCAATTCAAGGTGCCTCACAAGTGAGTGTTCGTAAAGTAATTACCAAATTACTAGATAAGGTGAAAGTGATTTATAGGCTTTCAAACACCACTTGGGATAATGTCTACTATCTGGACAGTCATGAAACAAGAAATAAAGGACCTGCATTGACAGAGATTGGCGCAAAAAGTAAAAAACAGGATGATTGTGTTGAGGACACTCTCTTCACAACACCGCAGGAATTGAGGTTGATATTCATGTCCAAGTAACACTGACTTTGCAACGACTTGGTAAACATAGCTGAGAAAGGGTTAGAGGTTGACTTGTCGTGAAGAGAACCGAAATAACTTAACTGCATGGATAAGAAATAATATTAGGACTAGGCTGTGCATTATTCATGGAAGAGAGGCATTCATGAGATGTGTGCTGCTAAGGTTGATAAGTCAAGTCAAAGAAAATGCCTGCCTTGAGAGACATTTAAAACTTCAAGAGATAATAAATTGAGAGATTTGTGCGTATGATTCAGCCTCTTTACTTACTCAAATTTTCATGAACACTTGGAGAATTCGTATTGTTTACGCTGAAAATGTACGAGAAAAACACGCACTTTTACAATGAGATAACACGGGCCTTTGATTACAGAATAGATAAGCTTGCCTGCTTGCCTAGGTATGTATATACATTCAGGCCAAGTACATGGCGCGGGTAAAGAGAGGAGTATCATGGAGTTTACTAGTGGCCAATCAGAGGTTGAGATTATTATGATGTCATTATAAAGCGCGAAATTTGAAAGATGTACCTTCACAAATGACGGCGGCGCGTCGTGACCTTCGAGTCATGCTCAGTTTCAGGACCCATAGGCAGCGCAGGCCCCCCACAATCCCCACATAGGACGGGTTGCCGGGACTCCAGCCCCGCGGCCCGAGGCCTGGNGGGGGGGGGGGGGCCCTCCTAGAATCACAAAAGTTTCCATTTGTATTACCAATCTGCCGGCAAAAGTAAAATAATTTTGTTGATTGAGATTTTGCTCGAGACTCAGACAGGCTTGCGTCGGCACCTGGGATAGCCTATCCTTTGCCAAAACATTGTCCCCATCTAATTTCAGATGTATATTTTTTTGTGCAATAAGCTGAATTTTTAATATGTTTTTATCTCTTTCTATTTTCCTTCTCTTTCATCAAAGGTAAAATTTTACCCACGTCAGAACTGATTTAATAGTTTAATTTAGGCATTAAAGACCTATTTATGTTTAAAATAAGTTTTTTCTATATATATTTAAAACAATTTTACGTCGAATTTTTTTTTTTTTTTTTTTTTTTTTTTTTTTTTTTTTTTTTTTTTTTTTTTTTTTTTTTTTNTTTTTTTTTTTTTTTTTTTTATAACGGCTCATTACAAATTTTCAAACAACTGCAATTATTCTGAGGTTTTGAAAGGGCAAAAATCTTGCATACACTAATATAAGTGCGGAAATAGCATGAAATTACTCAGATTGGAGGCAAAATTTTAAAAGATTTTCGGGGGTGGCCCCCCGCACCCCCTCCTGCTGGGGGGCGCTCCCCCCAGACCCCCCTAAGATAGTTTACTAAAAGGGGGGCCCACCGATGGATATGGGGGGCCTGGTTCCGGGTTTTTGAATGGTTAGGTCTGGATACAACTATTCGTGTTCTTGGGATGTCCGTGTTGCATACCAAACGAATTGCAGGCGCTCTGGCTTTCTTTATTAGCAGATCGCACGACTGCGGTTGTTAGTTCTGAAGGGTTTTCCACGTTGAATTTACAGTTGTGTTTACCACAAAGTCCTCGGTGTTCGAAAGCGCCGTGTGGCATAACAGTAACGTTGTCATATGGTTGAAATTTTCCACCAAAAACATTTCCACAAAGGCATCGCGGACACGTAATTTACTGCCGATAATGTTTCCGCATATTGCACCATGTTGCAAAGTCATAGTGCCACACGACTTATCAGGCCCGGGTTTACATATTTGCCGCTGGGAGAAACGGGAAAATTGCTGTCGTTCCTAACTTGCGTGGAACGTGAATAAGTCGGGGGGGGGGGGGGNGGGGGGGGGGGGTTGGCAGAAGAATGAGCTCCGGAAAGTTTGAAAATTACTACTACCCACCAACGCAAAATTAGAAAGCCCTTTTCAACAGAAATAATGTTATAAAAAAGTAAAAAAGTTTGAAAAATGCACTGATAGAATATAATTTGCCGGCGCCTCATCAAAAGTTCACATGGAATACCTATACCTACTGTTAGTTAAAAAATATTCTGGCTTAAAATTTCTCCACACTATACTTATGAGTGTGAAGTTGCTATTTTTGAAGAAGCGGGGTTATACTTTGTTCCTGCGAAAAATAGTTTTTCATAATCCGCCATACAATGCTCTGGTTTTTAGCCATCATGATTTTCGAATTTTGAAGATTTGACTGGAATGATTTCCCCTATTACTAAGTATCACAAAAACCGACAGGAGCAGATATAATATTTTAGGCCACAGCCGCCATCTTGGGTTTACGAATTTTGGAAATTTGACTAGAAATTTGAGTTTTCCGTCGAAAAATACCACGTGATACCGAATTTCACCGAACTCGAACGAACAGAAACCGAGATAGCATATTAGGCCACGTCCGCAATTTTGGAATTGAGAACTTTCAAAAATTGACCTAAAATTCGAGTTCCCCGTCGAAAAATACCCTCAGACACCGAAATTCAGAAAAATTCATCGAACAGGAGCTGACATAGCATTTTAGGCTACGTCCGCCATCTTCGATTTGAGAATTTTTAAAACTTGACTAAAAATTCGAGTTTCCCGTCGATCGAAAAGTACCCCTGCTCCCGCGGTTCACAAAGCTCTATAACGAACAGAAACCGAGATAGAATTTTAGGCCACATCCAACAACTTGGAGTTGAGAATTTTAAAATATTGACTAAAAATTCGAGTTTCCCGTTGAAAAACACCATATAATACCGCGTTTCGCAAGACTCGAACAAACAGAAACCGAGATAGCATTTTAGCCCACGTCCGCCATCTTCGATTTGAGAATTTTAAAAAATGGTCTAAAAATTCGAGTCTCCTGTCGAAAAATACCTCCTGACACCGAATTTCAGAAAAATCCATCGAACAAGAGCCGATATAGCATTTTAAGCCACTTCAGTCATTTCGGATTTTCGAATTTTGAATTTTGACAGATTTTGATTTAAAACGCGTTATACTCAAAATCGAAGCTCAGATTCGGATTCCTCGTAAAAAATCGATGCGATTTCATGTATCATACCCTGACACCGAGTTTCACAAAAATCCATCGAACAGGAGCCGAGATAGCATTTTTAGCCACGTCCGTCATTTCGGATTTTTGAAGTTGGAAAATGTGACTTAAAACGCGTGATACCCAAAATCGAAGCTCAGATTCGGATTCCTCGTTAAAAATCGATGTAATTTCATGTATCATACCCGAGCAGAGCGTGGAGGAAAGAGACGCACCGTAGGCATACTGATTCGAGCATATGAATGCAACGTGGCAACATGGGTAGTGCTCAGTGGGTCAGCGGAGGAGGAAGAATAAGAATTTATCGTGAGAAATTCCTCGCGACGAAACCGAACGCTTAGCTGGCGCTAAGTGGCGCCTCCCCGTTCGGTTTCACTCGGGCGACAGGCGGCGGCGTAGTTCAAAGAGGAAGTACGACAGAATCTATACGCGTCGTTAAACCTTTTTCCTTCACTCTATTTTAACATATGATACATGAAAACTCATCAATTTTTCACGAGGAATCCGAATCTGAGCTTAGATTTTGGATATTACACGTTTTAATCTATTTAAAATCGTAGGAGAAATTACAGAATTGTCCTTGAAAATTGATCACACATTAGTGTTTTTATACGTCATTAAACCTCTTTCCTTCACGCTATTCTAACATATAATGCATGAAATCGCATCAGTTTTTCACGAGGAATCTGAATCTGAGCTTAGATTTTGGATATTACGCGTTTTAATCGATTTAAAATCGTAGGAGAAATTACAGAATTGTCCTTGAAAATTGATCACACATTAGTGTTTTTTTACCCCGTTTTTCTTCTGCGTTCACTTAATGAAATTAGACCAACAGTTGACTCATCGACTAGTCTAGCCTAATCCCCCAGAATCGGTCTAAAGGGCGAACGATTTTATCAGATAAGATGTGCGATCATAACCAATGCTGTCTCTGTTGCCCAAAGATTTAATGATATTTGAATGCATGAATGACTGGCTTTTAATAATGTATGAAATTCCGTTGACACAAAATTCTGCGAGGTTGTAGCCTCCTTTCCTCTAAAGCACGACTAAATCCATAAGATAAAGTTTAAAATCGACTGAGTAAAGATAAATCTTACAATCTCCTGTACCTAACTACAATTTCAAAAGTTGTGAAAAAAAAAATAATAAAATTTCGAACAAGGAAATTTCATGAAAATCTTCATCTTCAAAACTGGATGATTTTACAGGTTTGGGGAGCTGAATGGTTGGTGGGCTCCTGTGCTTCACCATTCCCTCTGATCTAACTGAAGTTTCAGACACGCGTACTTTTTTATCAGAACCCCCATGTTCATCTCTTCATTCCAGCACCTACAATAGGACGTCCTGACTTTGCTCCTCGTTTTTGCCATTAACAACTGAATTGGATCATGCAAAAACTGCTGATGTAGAATTAATTATAAAGGCCCAAACCCTATGCAATGTTATTATATCGAGTAAAGCTTTCCTTGAATTTTATCGAAGGTTGCTTAACTGCCCAACAGTCGTGGCTTTCAGTCTGGCAAAGATGGAGAGGGATGAGCCAGAAAGAGAAAAATAAGTCCTCACACTTGTCTTGTCTCTATTTGTCTTATTTTGACACACACTGAAGTTCCTTTTCTTAATTAATCTTGTTCTTTGAGCTCTCGTGTGTTCCTTGTTGAATGAATCTTTCATTGTTACTTTTGCATTATTTTTTAGCTTAAATTACAAAAGACTTTAATTGTTTTAACTTTCACAGAATAGTAATGCCAGCATTTTGACATTTTCTAATACATTTTGAAGGGATTGAATAGCACGTAACATTGAAATTGCAGCAAGTCATGCAAAAACACCTGTTGTCGATTTTATTTTTTATAATTACCTACTCTGTAATATCAATGAAAAAAGTTGGAAATTAATTGGGGGATCCTTTTCAACAATCTGCAATTGTAATAATTACTTCTTGAACATTTTTCAATTCTGTGATCAATCCATGATTAATTATTGACTTATTTTTTGTAGAGAAATTGTTTTCCTTTAAATTTTAAAGGAAAAATGTCATTAAAGAGCTAAGATTGTGAGGGAGGCAGAGAGATTGGGAAAAAAAGACACAGCGTTAAAAATTATCAAACTAGATTTTGCACTTATAAATTTGAAAATTTGTCAAATTGAATGAACACTGAATATTAATTACACAAAGCATGGAAATATACTGTACGATTTAAAAACTTGAGGAATGGAACCATGCTTCAATGATCAATATTACAACACAACTGAGAGGCTTTGTACAAACATCGGTATCAATTTCATACAAAAAATCATGCATATTAAAACGAGTTGAGTGAAAATAGTGTTCAACTATATTGGAGTCAACTTTATTTTACAAAAGAAAAAAGAAAAACTTTTTTAACACTCGCACATATATTTTTAATTTACACTAGTAATATTGCAGGATAAGTAATTGCCCGTCTAGGTATACGTATAACACACGAAGGCTGTTCAAGAACAGTTTTTGCTACTTCTGTGTAAGTAATTTCATACCTTTTCTACTACTTACAACTTTTTTAGAGGATTCACTAGCGATAAAAAAGAGATTAACTATTTCATGCCAACAAAATAAGTAGATTTAAATTTGCTGTACCTAATTCACTTGAAAATTCACTTTAGACTGAAAAATATGATACCTTTCAATCGAGGGGGGTTTTTGGTAGCCTAAAAAATTCAAGGTGAAGGAAGTCAAACAGAAAAGCAGAACGTAGCCATCATTTTCCACATCATTTCACATTACTGAATAAAACACAATAACATTTTCAATGCTCGGAAGGACAGGGCACAATAGTTCACAATAGATCAAAATTTCAGCCAGGAAGTAGGACTTGTTCGAGTAACTGAGCCATAAAAATTTTAAAGGTGGTTTAGCACAGGGATTTTCATGATTATTTTACAATTTCTGTTCCTTCTTTTTTACTTGCATCATGTTGTTAAGGGCAAATCCCTAGCTGACCATAACTTCCTGCAGCTCAATTCCTAAATCTACATATCGACAATGAAACTGCAAAAATGCATATCAACAGTGTAAGTCAGCAATCACATAACTCAATTTGCAGCGTCGCAGACTTCCGGTCATACTTCATTTTTTAAACGGAAAACTACTCGACAGCAGTTCTTTAAAATTGCCATGATTTTTCTTCTCTGTGCAAAGAAAATTCTGCAAAAACTTCAAGGATTGATGTCTCAATGATGTCGATTTGTTCTCCTTTAAAAAAATAACATAGAGGCGGAGATTTTCAGACACCGCAAACGAGACATGTAATTGTAGACTTACACCGTCGATATCCCAGTTTCGATGTTTCAAAATCTCCGCTCCTATTCTGTTTTTTGAAATGATACTAAGTCAGCATCATGGATTGAAATTTTTGTTAATTATTCTTTGCATTGGGAAGAAAAATCAGGAAAATTTTCAAGAGATGACGTTTAGTAGTTTTCCATGTATGAAATGAAGTATGACCGGAAGTTTGCAATGCCGCAAACCGAAATGCATATTTCTGCAGTTTCACCATTGATATGTTAATACTATGGACAAGACATAGCCCTATCTCAACCATGCAATAAGTTGCATTTTGATGTCTCAATGTGCTGCAATAATCTTTCAATGATCAACCTGCAGTTTTTACTGTGGCTTAGACTTAGACTTGACTTTTATGACAGTGAGGAATAAACCTCACACTCCGGGCTAACTTCATCATTTGTCGAACTGAGTTTGTCAAAAGAAAATTGAATTTTAAACTTATAGTAAATCAAAGATGGAGAATCTCCACCATGACAGATTCCTGTGGCGGATAGATGTCACAGAGCGTCCTAGCGCACCGTACAAACGACTCATAAATACATACATGAATTAAGTAAAGTAAATGAAATTTCATTATCTTATTTTGGTAAATTATTTACGTTTTGAATTGTAAATTGCAAATCTTGAGAAGTTTGCTCGCCTCAATCATTTGGTAAAAAACATCTTAAACAGCAATGGAATAAAATTTTTGACAAATAATTACCTGAATGAACATAGGAAAATTACACATAAATTAATAAAACATTTAATGAAAAAATATAAATAATCATAATTACATGACCTATTTGTTTCAGGCTTTGAGAATATAAATAATTTCTTTAAAAAAATAAATAATAATAATTATTAGATGACCTTTAATCTAAACTTTGAAAATGGTCACAAAGACTAACGGTTTTAAACCTAATTTAAGAATTAAAACTTCCACAATCATCCTTCAGCAAAATCTGAGAAATTGATACTTTACAAAGCTGTCCTAATATAAGGCACTGTATTTTAGGATTTTCACTAGTTATAAAGCTTAAAGGTCAACGTATAAAAGTAATATAAAGTAAAATAAGTAAGCAACGCTAAGTCATGTATAGAGATCATTCAGTTACTCTTTCTTTGCGAAGATACATTGCGACAAAGGCTGAGATTTAAAAAACATATGATTACGAAGAAAAACTGTCTCTAGTAGAAACTAGGGCCCTCGGGAGATATATTGTCGTTGAGAGACTCAAATGCAGCCATCTGCTTGAGATTTAAAAGCTGCCAGATGAAATGATAGGAATCATAAAAAATCCGTAAAGTTTTTCCACAAACAAATACAATTACAAATTTAAAAATTCTTGCACAGTGTAGTATGTGTTTTGTAAGAAGTGTTCTTTTAATTTCGCATAAACAGTTACATTTGTTAAGTGTTACTTTCAATTTTTATCAGGGAGTGTAGTTCATTTAAATAGCTTATGTTCTATCTTTTGAACCAGGGAAAATATGAAAAACCAACTTGTATAATTTAGCCAATCAAGAAAACCAGCAATTGATCTAATAAAATTAATTATTGAGATTATTGTGTGAAAGTGATTGATTTCTCTGGTTCGGTGTTTGAAAAGCAATGAAGAAGTACTTGAGGACAAATACAGTACACCAATTACAAAATGGTAGACTTATAGGACTGACTATATCATTAGGCAGCAGCCTCTTTTCAGTGGCCTATCGTTCGAAAAGGATGAAGGTCTCTTTCTGTCACAGTTTTAAAATTACAAAACCAAATTTGAAATGCTTTGAATTTACCAGATTCCTATAATTAACACAAAACCATAGATCTGTGCTGGGCACTTCCTTAATAGTCCTTTTAAATATAAACTCAAGAGGGGCTTTTTATAGAGACAGTGAACTATTCAGCACTGTTTTGTTACATGTCAGACTCGTTTTAGTTTATTATACATACAATTTTTGAGTTACTAAACATTAAACTTCCAACAAATTGAACCAATGAGGAAATTTGTTTGGAGAGGGTCATTTCAAGATAGTGGGCCTTGGTATAACCAAATAAAAAAGGATATAATTAAAGTATGATTTTTTGACTGATACCATCAATTAAAAAAGGGAAATCTTGTTGCACCTTTATTGTCAGCCTATTTTCATGTATTCTCTCTCGATTCAAATAATTGTCGATTTTGAGGCACCTACAAATTGATTTTTTAAAAACGTGAATACGTGATTTTCTTGAGCGCTCCAAATTAAATTTAAAAACAGTTCTAAATTGAAACCAGTTTCATTTACATCAAAATTAGAAATTAGCTCCACTTATTCTTAAATAAAATTTTTCCCGATCTAAAAAAAAAAAAAACTAAAAAAAAAAAAAATAAAAATATAAGTGAATTGAGAGAACCAGAAAAATTCAGGGTTCATGGTCTCTTTTCGGATTGATTCTTAAAAATACTGAACTGCTGACCCAATAACTTCATTATTTCGGCATGCGTTTTTGTCAGATTCTGTTTTTTTACCTCACCATAATTTTCTTTGACAAACATAGCAAACTTGCCAGGAGTTCGGGGTGCTTTCAGATTTTCGGCAGATTTTCGATTAGACTTCGAGTGGTTAACAAGGAGTTCAAAAGCACCATAGCAGTAGCCACATCGTTTTCGAGTTGTATCCAAAGATTTGGAGTGTCGACCAATACTGAAAATTGATGAGAGATATAATTAGAAGAAAAAAATTAAAGATGACTGCTAAGGCAGAACATTTTGAGGAAGTAACATAAAAGAAAAAAATATACCAAAGGAATGGTGGATCTAATACGGCTAAAAGCATTCATTCTTCTTATTATTGGCCCACTCCCTTTTCTTTCACCAAAAACCACTTTTTAGATGAAGTCCTTGTAATGTTTAGGGCCTCAAAAAAGGGAAAATATGAGAGGCAGAGAAATATAAGATACATCTTCAATGGTATTTGAAAACCATGGTATAATAAATGAGGTGATCTTCACCACTTGTACCATAGAATATTTAGTTGATTACTTCAGGCTACAGGGTATCAACAGAATCNGGGGGGGGGGGGGGATCGGGCGATATTACCTGATACAGTGTGAATATGGAAATGCCACAGGTATTTAAAAATGCAAAACTTCAGAAACATCCCTGAGTAGAAAAATAATTTTTATAATTAATTCTCTGGTTTTGAAAGCTACTACCAGGTGCTGGTTATTACCCGCCCGGCAATGGTTCATTGCAGCAACGTTGTAGCAACATCGCGAAAATTTCAGTGTAAAAGTGTCCTCTCCAATTTGCAGCACATCGTCTGCTTGCACGCGCTCTTTGCCAAGCTATGACATTTTTTATCAAACGTTACAGCAATGTAAACGCAAACGATTTGACAACAGAGCAATAAAACGCTTTTAAAACGTTTGCGTAACAAATTATAACGACATTGCTTAACAACGTTTTTACTGACGTTTTGTAAAGCGTTTTTCAAACGTTTTTAATAACTTGTAAAAACGCTTTAAAAAAATGTCGATTTAAAACTTTTTCACAACGTTGTGACAACAATTTTTAAAACGTTGCAACTAAACGTTTTTCGAAACATTGTTAAAAAACGTTGCGGCAACAAACTTGCAACCATCCTTGCCGGGCGGGTAGAGTTGTTATATTTATTCATGTCCAACTGAGGATGGTTGGGTTTCCAACTAAAACGTTTTGGCTTCAATTTTTGTTTTTAAAGCCTTATTGCCTGCATATTTTATTGTGTGCAATTTCTATCGTATGTATTATGAAAACAGTCTGCAGAGATTGGCAAAAGGAAAGTTCCTTGATGCCTCTTCTGCCTGAAGATCTGTGAAGTAGAGACAGGGTGTCTAGTTTTTTTATTTTTATTTTGGGAGATCCTGATTTTGACTGCTAAATCCTGATTTCATAATTTTTCTGAATCTTGATCAAATCCCGATTTTTTGCGGAGAAAAATTAACCCTAGTCTGCCTGAGTGGGGTCAGATTGACCCCACGGGGGTTTCAACTCTTTGCCATTTCTCGTGGTATGCACGAAATTTTTTGTCCTTCACAGATAGGTCTACAAAAACATCTAGGAACACGATTTTGAAGGGGAAAAAAAAAAGAAAAAAAAATTGTGCATGAGAGATCAAAAAATTCACGAGTACCCCTGGAAAGCCTGAGCGGGGTCAGATTGACCCCGACGTGTTTTCCCTAGTGTATTTCACGTTTCATTCACAAAGACAGTTGGTAACCCTGTTTGTTTTGGTTTTGAGGTTTTGTTCATGTTTTGAAAGGTTGATGTTTTGTGATAACAATATCTAGCATGTTTCATAAGCTTATTTTTACAAGAAATAAGTAGTATTATTACTTTTATTTCGTGAAAAACAGAGAAAGTGTCAATCTGTGATTAGATGAACGTGTTCTTCAATCTAGTTGAGTTTTTTTTTGAAGATTTCTCCATTTTTCTGGTTTGTATAACTCTGGCGCAAACAACACACATAAGGTAAGCTTCAAAGTTTATTTCTTATTTTTAAAGTTTTCTTTATCGGCTTCCGAAGACCTATCTGTTTCCCCATCAATTTACCAAGAATGGCATGCGGTATGAAATTATTATGTCAGTGATTCAGTGATAGCGGTACAGTGATAGTATTCAGTGATGTGCTTCATTTTATTTCCAAATGTCGTTTGCATGTTTGTCCAATACACAGTGTTGTTCTTTGCCAAAGCTGCGAATAAGCTGAATACTAATTTTTCCTTATATTTTTACTAATGTATTTTTTTTAGGATAGCGACTCTTTTCAACTGTGTGCCATAAAAGGGACTTTTTCTATTTTATTTTTAATTTTAGTTCCAAGACTTTTAGCTTTTTGTAGTATTATAAAATGTTTACCAAAACTTATTTCAACAATAAGTGCTCGATACCACTAAGGACTGAGCCAAAGTGTTTTTAGAGTAATATTATTTGGTGCCTTCAGTGTGCATTATTTTTGTATATTTTTCAATTTTTAACTTACCCACCGTAGTTATGTTACCTAATTTCTAGTTATTCATAAGCTGAGCCCTCCGTACTTATGTTACCTTCTACGTTTTATTTTTCATTCCTCACTGTACCTAGAATGTAGGTTCTCATAAATATGGTGCTAAGCTTATAGCTACGTTTTAGTTTTTAGAGGTCCATTTCTTTTCTCTTATTCCTTATAACATATATTTTACCATTTAGCATCAAAAAAGCTTACTTTGAAGGTGTATTCATTTTTCTCTTTTTAATTTTTTTCAGAAACTTGTAAAACAAGCAAAATTTTTCAGATTTTTCTCGTTTTCAGTATTTAGTAGCCCTATGATTATTTTTTTCTCACGCTGAGAAAAAATTTACCAAACTTGTAGTTGTCAAACTTAATTTAATTTTCAATTATGTATTCAGTTTTTTGTTCAAAATTTACTTCTTCCTTTTTTTCTCTAATTTTAGAAAGAGAATATACGCCTATTTCTTGAAACAGAGTACCTAGAAAGAAACAGAATGCATGTTTATTATGAGTCCGGTATGCAATTTGGCAACGTGTGTAATGAAGTGGTTGTTGCATACCCTTCAAGGCATCTTGTAGTCTTAGGCACTCCTTTTTTCAGGCACCTAAGCTTACTATGCACTGATATTGTCTGAAAACATAAATAAAAAGAGCAAAAAACAAAAATATCAATATTATGCAACATGGCAACATATGTATGATAAAATGGTTGCATACCCTGCGCCGTGTTTTTTAAAACCTAGATATGCTTTATGGTTAAGGCCTGTGAGGTTAGTGCACTGATATTAACTAAAAACATGAAAAAACGTAGCTAACTAATTGATTTTCAGCTGGGGTCAAATTGACCCCGCTCAGGCTTTCTCGTTGGTTCAGAGGCTCAGGCAGACTAGGGTTAACCAACGGATAACAGAAAATAAGCGGACCGCCGACTTTTCTCAAATCCTGATTTTACGACCGATTTTTCCTCAAATCCTGATGAAATCGGGATTAAATCCTGATTGACCTGAAATCCTGATAGAATCGGGAAAATCCTGATGCTAGACACCCTGTAGAGAGCAACTCTGTTATTGCATGTCACCTTTGACTGTTTCCACAGTAGGTTAGAATTTTAAATTATATTTCTGATGTTCATTTTTTTGAGATTGGATAAATACTTACCTATAACCGCAAGAAGTGCAACGATACGTGAATTTGGTTTTGATTGAGTAGTCATGGCAGCGCTTGATTGGAGGCACTTCAGGGAATCGTCTCATGGCTTTATTTGCCCTAAAGAATTAGGAGACACAAGAAATGTTATTCCAGGTGTCGAGGTGATTGAATTATAAAGTACAAAAACATTCCTGACTTTTTTAACTAGAAAATATTTTCAAGGGCAATGCATGAGCTCCTTAAAGTTCTGACAGTGAGGAAACGTTCCATAAATGAAGAAAGGCCCCGAAAATATGAAAAACATTCCAAGAGAAAAGCAATGAGGAATAGAAAACACATGAGAAAAGTCTAAGTTGAGAAAGGATGGTTAAATATACTACAATTTTTCAAGATCCTTCCCTGTTCATATCATCTTCCCACAACTTTTTATTGTTTTACAGACAAGGTCCGAAAAAGTGGAAAAGCTGCCAAATTTTTGGGCTGAAATCAGTAAAAACATGGAGCAACATGCAAAAAGTGTTGGTCCAAGAAGAATGATAAAATTACATAAAATCTGATTCATGAAGTACAATTTTGAGACTCTTAGCATTTGCATAATCTTTCCACGATGATTAAATGTCTCTCAGTCAGTAGGAGGAAAGTTCCTGAAAATATGGAAAATCCTTCAATAACTTCACATAGAAAACAGAGACATTCTTGAGCCTTTTCCTGATTTCAGAGCTCTTCATCGATTCATTAGGAGAAAAAACAAGAAACGAGACCATTAGCCAACTAGCACCTCCCTCTCCAGAAGTCACTCCTGGATTTAAACTTTCTAGAGAATTATATGGTTTAGATTTTCTACAGCAGTGTCCTGGATTGCAAAGCTTCACTTCGACTGAGACAAAAGCTTGCAAAACTTTTGACCATGGTGTGTAGACTTATTGATTGGTTTGTTTCCATTCCTGATATTTCCATGATTTTTTCTATTTCCAGGGAAACATTTCCTCATGGCAGCTTTGGATTTCCCATTATCTTCCTCTAGTTTTGCTCAGAAAAGACAAATTAACACTCCTAGGTTCAGAGATAAGAATACCAGCTTTTTAATTTTTTGTCTACATAATTCTTTAAAGAATAATCAAAAAAGATCACCATTTATGAATGATTTAATTGTAGGATGAAAAAAGAAGAAATTCTCAATATTCAGCACAAATTCCCTGACGAATTTTCTAATGTTACCAGATATTTTTCCTTCCCTGATAAATCCTGGTATTTCCCGGTTTTTACTGGTCCTGGATACAATGCGTTTGACCCTTAAAAATTTGTCTCCCTTTCCACATTCTTATGGCATCCAGCGCAGTTCTGCAACTGGACCGTTTCTGCATCATTAATATGGGGAGCAACAAATTCAACAATCAATAGAGTCCCTCAAAAGAAGGGTCGGAATTGAGCTTGATTTGTGATCCAACAACATCACATGACGTGCTCAAAATCATTGCCTATTTTTGTGAGTTAGTTGGTGCTAGCTAGTCCCTAAAAACGCAATTACCAGCCATAGATATCATTATTCACCGATTCTAACGATAGAAATACTTTTACACACCATGCTTTCCAGAGAGGGCCATGACCATCAGTTGCACCATTGACGATCCATGCTGCCGCATGACACAATTCATGAAGCAACGTGTCTCTGAGTCGTTCAGGAGTATCAAGAATCTACAACATTTAAAGAACAATTCTTAAAAATCATTTCAAAGTTATTAGAACTCATCAGGATCTAAAGACAATTATGTCCTTTATTTTTTTTTTTTTTTTTGAACGAAAAGAGAAACTGCTTCCTGCGCCTGAATTAAAGCTCTCAATACCACTGTTTGCCTTCAAATCTTGCGCACCTTGTTGCCAGGTGCCCAATAGTAGTTGTAGCACAGCTAGTGGTCGAATACACCTTAGATACAACCAAAGTCCTGGCCAAACAAACAATCATCATGAGATAGCTAAAAATAAACCAATAGACTTGTAAAAATCAAAATATTTTGAGAATCATTGCTCTGTGTTGAAAACCAGTGGTCAAACTTTCAATGTCACAACAACGCCTTTCTATTTTCTGATCAGAGGCAGTTCAGATGTTGCATCTTCCGCTGGGGAGGGAAATATTCTATGCTCAAGTGACACAGGGGTGCAGAATGTTCAAGATCTGCCGAGATATACCTCGCGAGTGAATGGCGTACACTGCAAAACACAGTGTACACTTCGTCGATAGCCGCGTTGATTTTTTGTTGAAATTACCACAACAGCGTTCATTTTTTGTCAGATTTACTTCAAATGCACTGATTTTTGTTAAAATTACTGCAATGCAGCTTAATTTTTGTTAAATTTACTTCGACCGCGCTGATTTTCTTTCTTCTTTCTTCTGATCTTCTCTGAGATGACAAAGTGTCAAAGTCATTTTAAGTAGCTGCATCACAAGAATATGGACTTATTGTTAGTCGACACTAGGCACCAAATCTTCATCACCATTACAATCTGAGATGATGAAAAAATTATTATTTCTAGGTCAGACTTCGTATCTATATAGTTGTGATTAAAACATTTAAACTAAGGGTCAATAATCAACAAAAAGAATCGCTAGGGGGGGGGGAGGAAAAGGGGGTTATTAAGTGAGAGGAAACTTAATTATCCCAGGGAATTCAGATCTGCATGATCGCCCATGCTACGCAGTAGGGTCAAGAAGTATGAAGTTCTATATTACAGCGGGAAAAAACTTATCGCCCATTTTCAAGCAGTGTAACACTAAATTAGCAGTTTTTTAACACCCGCTGCCCTCTTGGATACTACAGTTTCTCACGAACAATCCCTCTTAAAAATTAAGGTAAGACTGTCTGAAAAATAATCCTTTCTTTTTAAATTACTAAACTTTAAAAAATCCAATTAATGTCAGACAATAATCCTTTCTTTATAAATTACTAAACTTTAAAAAAATCCAATGAATGTCTTGATAAACTTACTTTTACCAATTTGAATATATAATACCATTGAAATCATCTTTAGCAACTGCAGTTGTTTTTACCATTTGACTTTGCAGTTTTCTGAATAAAAACTAAAAAGAATTGAATATAAGGTAAAAGACAACTAGTACCTTGGTTGATAGAACAATGCGGCACACACGGGCCATTTCCATCCCTGTTCGGCGGACTTTTTTGCTCCAACAATAACCAGATGTTGACCGCATACGTGCATTCCACTGGATTAACATGTCATCTGGGAGTTGATTTTCAAATACTTCCCTATTGTACAAGACAAGCAATCTTCGTGCTAACTCTTCTTTCTTGGTCTTATAAAACTTTTTATAAGGTACAGCATCTGGATGGGATTGGATTTCATCCACAGTGGCTGAAAAACAGAAATAACAAAGTTAAGAGGTAAAAAAAGTAAAAATAAACTGGGCATGTTCGATATCATTTTGTATTTCTTGTTTTTGAACTTTTACCGAATATTATCTTTCTGCATAAGACAATGAGCAATATTTGATTTAATGTAAAGGACCACTAGACAAGACAAAAGTTATTATCTGATGCTTCAAGAAATTACTGCCCTAGTGTGTTGGCTCAGCCTTGGAGAAGAAAATTAAAAGTCGTTAGAAACACAAGATAGAGCACCAAAATGAAAATGCCCTATTAAAAATTTTAAATGAATGAAAAAATCAAATAAGCAATTTGCCTTATACCAGTTGCCGCTCAAAATTCTTAAAATCAATTTTGGAGCAGAAAATATTTGGAATATTAATTTAGTATTGAGGATGCCAATGGCACCAAAAGACAGCTGTCTTAACAAATCTTAGTTGAGACAGAGCTTTCGTTGGGATAAAGGGATATTTAGAATGAGAACAATTCACTTGCAGTGCACATTCATTTAATAAGGGTGCACCAGAGGTTATGAAAAATCTAAAAAGAGCTCAGCTGATATGAGACGTATTAATTTTTGCTCTTACGACATTGCCATATTTCAACTGCTTTTCTATAATCGAACTCAAAATTTAACTCCAAAACTAATAAACTTGCTACATTTGATGCAAACCCCACTTCTTGGGGCAATGCGTCATGTTTAAACAAAAGTTACTCACCAGACAAAGATGCTAAGAAGGAAAGCTTTGAATGTTCTCCTTTGGGAGCTTTAGATGGGGTGATTTTGAACTTTTTCAGCTCTGGCCGTGCAGGAGTATTTTTAATTGGAGCTGTATTTTTCTTTGGAATTGGTTTTTTGAAATCTTTCACCTGACTGTCTGACTCAGAATCTGATGAGCTTGTATCATTGGCAATTGGACGTCCAACAGGAGAGGATTTTGTTAGCTTCTTAATAGGAGGTTTCTTAACTTTATTATCACTTAAAGTTGATGTCAGAACATTTGTCTTCCTTGCCATGAAAGAAGGAGATTTTTTCACCTTTCCCTTCTTCAATATGCCACCATTTTTATTTTTCGACGAAATGTTTAACATTTCTAGAGACTCCGATGAGGACGCTGATGATAGCTTTTTCCTGTCACTGAATAGCAGACCCTCTGAACGTAATGAAGGCTTGGACAGTTTTAGTTTGGTGCTACTGGAGGTTAATTTGTTCGTGAGAGTTCGATAAAAATTTAAATCACAGTTTTCACTAGATGATGAATCATCATTTATAAAACTATCCCTTTTTTTCCTGCGATTCATTTTCTTTTGATTCTTTTTTACATCATCCTCATCGTCAGAAAAATTTAGTGTCTGCCGTGAGACTGCACTTGGTTTCTGTTTTGAGGATTTCTTCTTGACTGTACTCCGCGGTAGAATTGTATCTTTCTTTTCATGCCATGTTGTTCCATACAATTCATCTAGCAATTTTTCAGCATTAAGCAAAGATTCAGACTGCGATACCTCCATACTTGATGACTTATTTCTTCCTGATTTTTGCTTTCCTGAATCCTCCACACTTTCGTCTACGGAGAAATTTTCTAGGGAAGATTTACTACATTCTAACAACTGCTTTGTCTTGACCTTCCCTCGACGCACGCTATCAGAGGCAACTTTAGAGCTTCCCTGGAAGAGCAAATCCAACTTAACACCTCGAGACGAATTTCTTGGCTTTGGGCTGTTTGATGACTTTTTCATAGGTGAAGAGGTTAAGTCAATGCTTGAGATTTCCAATGACTGTTTGGACCTACTTACTTCTCTAGAAGATGATATACTATTCAAACTCAAGTTGACATTGTCTGTTGACATTTTGAGGCTACCATCAATATTCAGGGTTTTGGAGGCGGTTGAGGTACAGATACTATTTTCTTTGAGTTGTTTAGACTTATGTGACCTACTGGCAGGAATCGAAATGTTATTAGAAATATCAACTTCATGACTAAGAGCAGAAACTGATTTTGAAACGGGTAGATTATAATTTTCATTCGCCTCTTCTTCACTACTACAGGAGGTATAATCATACATGAAGTCTTTTTGCAGTCCAAGAACTTTTTGTCTTCGATGGCGACGAACGGTGACTCCCCGAAATTTTAGAGTGTCAAACACGATTCTTGACTCATCAGAAGTTTTAAATCTTTGCGATAGATTATCTTGGGAAACATTTTTAGTGGTCAATGAATTTGATGCTGAACAATCAGTGGAAGATTGGTGCGAGCCAGACTTTAACAAGGCATCAAACTTTTCTTCAGAGCTTAATTGTCTAGAAATTTCTTTTGAGGATCTTGTCAGATCATCAGCTTTCTTTTTTTGTGGAATGAAACTCTTAGAATTTTTCTTAGTTGAGCTAAATTGTAAATTGAAATCTTCTTCAGAGTTACCAATTCGGGAGTTTTTTTTTGAGGTAACAGTTGAAAAATCAAGTTTCGCATCAGAAATAAAAATTTCATCAGTTTTTCTTGAAGAGCTCGATGACACATCTAATTTGTCAACCTTTTTTGTAACGGCATTCAATCCAACCGATGACCTGTCAAATTTATGATTGAAAGAATTTTTCAAGATGTCATCCTCATCCTTACACAAATTATTTAGACTGTTGCGCTTATGGAGAGATAAGTTTGTCATATTCTCTTTGTTACTTTGATCCGTTAAATTTTTTTCAGGTCCGTCACAAAAGTTGCTAAAGCTAATTTTTGCACGACCTGTTTTAAGACTAGTATTTAAATCACACTTTGACACTAGTACATTTTCTTTTGATATTCCCGAAACCCCAGATTCAAATTCACCAGAATGATCAGGTGGGCTGAAAAATGCATCGGAGCACCTGGGGGTACTTGAGATAAGCTTCTTTGTTCTTGTATATTTAACTGGAAAAAAGGAGTCCACGGATTCATAAAACGATTTTCCATTTTCTGGTGAGCTGGATATTGAAATAATACTTTCAGTGAGTTTTCTAGGGGCCATCCTGTTCGCACTTCTCTGAACTCGGGGCTCACTGGAGTCAAGGCTGCTGAAAGATGTTGATAAAGAGTTAGTTTTCTTGAGATCATTCATATCTTTCTGACTGCATAGTCCTTGACTTTCTGAGCTATTCAACTCCTTCTCATCCACCGCAGTTTTTTTGGAACCAACATGATATTCACCTTTTACTTCAATTCTAAAATTTTCTTCCTTTTTACTCTTCAACATAATCTTTCTTTGATCTTCGATGTCTAGATTTGGACAAAACTTCACACCAACTAAATCCACGACATCTTCACCCTGGGTAACTTTTTTGAGAGGTGAACCACTGAGGGAATGTGCCACTGGCTTACTTTTTAGATCAAAGTTTTCTGGAACATTATTTTTTTCTCTCAGAATACCTTTGATACTGGATTTATCATAGGAGGCTAGCAGGTTTTTTGAGACATTCCTACTTGAGGATAGTTTGTTGTCCATTCCAGTATTTTCTTTTGTTGAGCTTGATTTTTTCTTCTTGGTTGATGACAGTTTAGCAAATTCTGGAACATGAGAGAAAAAATTGATTAAGTATACTATCGCTTTGCATATCAAAAGAAAGATTAGCAGCTAATGATGAGGCTTTTATCATTTCAACAATGTTGGACGGCCACTCTGTTAATATTATTGAGTGTGATCATAGATTGAGTTTAAAACATTCCTCACTCCATTTCTGATGGGCCAACACACCTATCTTCAAGGCCTTTGCCCTCATACTGATTGAAACAGATAGCTACATATAGACAAGGGTGCAAAAACTTCCGGAGAGAAAGAAGAAATGGTAGGGCTGGTACCCATTAGCATGAACATAGCATTTTTTCTTTGTTTTTTTTTTAGTTTTTTGTTTGTTTTTTGTTTGTTTTTTGTTTGTTTATTTGTTTTTTTTTTACAAATTCTCTAATAAAATCTCTAATTAATCTATCTAATAATCTCTAATAAAATTGCAGGAATTCTCAATTAAGGAGAAGGAGAAAGAGAGACAAGGAAGGGGAAGAGAGAGGAAGAAAAACAAAAATACTGTCACTACTTTCGAGACTGGGGAAAATATGGAGTTTTAAGATGCTAAAGGCTTTGTGGATCCCTGCATGTAGATGTGAATACATTGACTGAATCATTCAGTTTAAAAACAACCTGACTCTTGGGGAAAAAATACAAGAAAAGAAAAATACTGACAGTTTTTAAAGGTATGAAATTATTTTGAATGCAACTCGTGCAGCTATCATTGAGAAATTAACAGGTAGCTGTACTAAAGTTTACACTTCTTTTATTTTAGAAATATATGCGGTTGAAAACTCCAAAGATAGGTAATTTTTGCCCTGAATGAAATTTTTCAATGTAACCTTAGGAGCAGAAGATTTTTTTCTTCTTTTGTACTTAAAAAGATAAAAAAATGAAAAATGCATCGGCCTCTCAGAGCCATTTGCTTGCCAAAAAAAAAAAAAAAATTAAATTTTCGAAGTTGTGTCAAGTATTTTTGAAGTGAACAATTTGATTGTAAAAAAAGGCATACTTCCAATTATTTGGAGACTTGATGAGACAATTCTTTAGATACCTTAAAATATATAAAAAAAATATAAATTACCAAAGATTCAAAGGTCAGACGGGAAGGAGCAACAGAAATTCAGTAATTTTCTTCCAAAATTTGTCTTGATAAAATAACATATTATCTTTCATCATTTTTGGTTCTGGCTTTTATAAAATCAATATCTGAATTTCTATCATACTTACCTACTGAGAAGTTTTTGGTGATGACTTCTACTAACTCCAGAAAAAAACAACGATTTTTAATCATGAAGAACAATTAAAGATAATGAAGCAGACTGGAATGAAATGAAACTTACGACTTGAGGATGGTTTTGTTCGGAGTGATTTAACTTCACCTGGATTGGAAAAGTTCAAAAGGGAGAAGGTAATGTCTTGATTCATTCTTCCCGCATGCGTCTGTTGATACAGGACTTCTGTAAGAAAATGAAAGCCGATTAAGAAAAATGAATGTTACCTAAAATCACATCAACATTCAAAACCGCTGCTGTTATGTTACCAGTTAGGTACAACAAATTTTAATCTTTGAGATCCAATGCTAGGAGTTTATTCCAGTTTCAGTGCGATTAACTGACTGACTGACCAAAATCCAGGTACAATCCAAAGAATTACTACTTTACTTAAATAGGCTTAATAATGTGAGCTGACTTTATGCTTGCCCGAGTTAAAAATTTTCAGGGGTGCAAATTGTTCTCGACCGCGCAACAAAATTTCAGACATGCCGTAAAAATGCGAAGGCTACAGGATTTTTTCCTCCTTCTTTTTTTTAAGGTTTTCAGGCTAACTCAGGACGTTTTGTTGACCTGATTTCCGCAAAAACCTTGCGCAATCCAGAGATTCAAAAACATTTTGATCAGCGCATTGTGCTGATCTGTATGAAAAACTTTGCGCATTGCAAAACATTTTTGAAGCCTCCTGGAATATTGCAGAGGCCTTGAACAATTTTCACCCTGAAAATTTTAGTATTAGCCTGTCATGCAAATGAAGCCACAAGTTGGCAACAAATGTAGTCAGTCACTCAGTCATACAAGCAGAGCAGGGGCGCAAATTTTCTTCAATCGTATGGTCAAGGGCGCAGACTTCCTGACCCTGTTGTGTACCAATCACATGGAATAGGGGAACCCCTAATTGAATGTGAAAAAGCAGAGGGACTCTGATGAAAACAGAGGAGCTCCTATAAAAACACAAAATGGGGGACCCCTCTGCTAAGTACGGTATTCTAGCTGTGAAAGAGTTCAATTTCCTTAGTTATTGTTTTTTTTTTTTTTTTTTTTTTTTTTTTTTTTTTTTTTTTTACTTCAAGAGGAAACAATTAGACAGCAATTAAACAGAAGATACTGTAAAATTTTTCGGAAATTGCACTTGAAGGGTTTTTGCCGACCAGAGGCTGTATTTAAATTGGAAATATCAGTATTCTTCAATGTAATATGCTTACTATTGAAACGCAAGCTGAGCTCTTCGCAAGTATGCTGGCGGTGAAATTGTTTTCTTTGATTCTGTAACCAACTTTGAATAAATGAATAAACCCTGAATTTTTATTAAATCAGGGGAAGGTGGATTGCATTTGGGGGAGGACCGGTTGACATGAGGAAAGGTTTGGAAATTGCAGCGCCCCTGCAGATGGTTGAGACCAAATAATAAGCGTGCACCGATAATTGTGGAGGCTGAGAAAGCTGCGCCCCTTTTTGTCCAGTCTGTTGTCCAACTTCTGTGTGGAAACTGACCATGCATGTGTGTGTGTTTACATCAAAGCATTGCGTTAATCTGTCGACAAACCAGCACCTTGAAAGAAAAAGGGAGGTCTAGAACAATTCGCACCCCTAAATTAGAGAGGGTGTCCGCTCATCAAAATGAAACGCTTCAATAATAGACCAAAAGAATGAGTTCAGTATAGGTAAAACGGTACAAGTTATAGCTCCGTAAAGAAAATGAAACATCATTCATCTATAATCTCGAGAGATTTTTGATAATTTACCNCTACCTTTAAATAGCAAAATTTGCAAAAATTAATGCTGATTGAATCATAAAATGTCGAAAAAACACAAGCAGTTCTTGATTTCTCCATAAGCCGCCGTGTTACAAAATGCCGTTGGGTTCACAAATGGTTCACTAATTTCGGAGCACACGCGGCTCGGAAACGCCTGTTCATGGATTGGCTTCATCGGCGATCCAGTACTTTGCGACTCTATTGTACTCTATGAATTTACCTGTGTAGACAAAATTCTGTTCGTGTAATGTGCAGTTATCCAGAAAGAAGAGAGAAGACGTTGTTACATTCTGATCATGACGAATGCGAAGGTTTCGGCTACGAACGACAAAGACTGGAAACTGATTTTTCACCCATTGTGAGAGATGTCAATACAAGACCGCGATTAAACCTGCGAATGCCTGGTCCTCCTCGAGATTTGAATGGTAAATTTAGGGCAATTTAAGTCGTGGAACTGATAAAACTGCATTTGATGCAGTTTCAAATTGCAGTTTTTCTCCCTTGCATAACCTCTTCATGGGAATTCCGTTATAAATATGAAAACTTGCAAATTAAAAATTCCCACATGAAAGGTCTTTTCTTGACGTATGATCTAGAAATGCCTGTCCATCATGAGCATTGGTCTCAAAAATGTATCGTTTATTCATTTTTCTATCAATTTTATACATTGGTTTTATCTAGAGTTTCGATAAATATTGAAATTTTTATTTTAAACCATGATGGTAACTCAGAGGGAAAACTAAGTGGAGTGGCAGCCTTGTAATTTTTTTCTTTTTTCTTTTTCGCTTCTTATGTTTTGTTTACTACTGGCGCGCAGTTAGTTGAATTTCTGAGTTAGCGAGCGTTCTCTGGAAGCTGTGAAGATGGCGACATGTGATAGTTTTTTGTAAAAATGTGTCAGAATTCAATTTTAGTGCTTTTAATTACGGTTTCTAATGTTGTCATTATACAATGTCAGAGCAACATCGAGTCGCTTTTACAACTTTAGGGTCTGCCAAGAAGCAAGCCAAATCCAAACCGAAGAGTGATTCAGTTCGCATAACCATAAATTTAACCGAGCCTAGTGGTGATTCGTGTCCAGTTTTTAGTTATACCGCTCTAGTTAATTCTGTCGAGGTACGTATATAATTTTCTGCATTTCCAATACGTCATATCTGTTGTAAAACTCAAATCTTAATCTCTTAATTGTCTTAGTATGAAAAGCCAGATAAACATGTACACATAGCCATGTCAGTCTAGTGATAACTAGAAATTCTTGCTGTATGTAATGACTTTCCTGCTTGGATAATTGAAGTTAATATGTATATCACTATGAGGAGCCAATCAAGGTATCTTCGTATGTGTCATTTTAATCCTCATCAGCACTCTTCCAAAGTGAAAGAGGAAACATATCCGATAGCTTCTACTTCAGCGATATGCGATATCATAAGTTAAGGTTATGTACCAGTGTGCCCCTGATAATGCAGGAATTTTCCTTTCTGCCAACAATTTGAGGTTTCACATCTAAATTTCATCTCAACCCTGTTTCTTTGCCAGCTACTGTGAATTAGGAAACATGGTGTGTCATTACTCGGGTCTAAAGATATCTTAAACAAAGTTGAGCAAGCATTATCGAGGGAACAAGGCCAGGAAAACTCCTAACTGTCAGGATTTTTTAGGACTCTGAGCATTCTAAATCCACCAAATTACAGGCAACAGAAACCTGATTGATACTACATTAATCCACCTCATTCTGATAATTAATTACAGTTGGGAAGACAAGAAATTAGATACTATGCTCATTCAGCAATTTTCTGTTGAAACCGTTCGAGCCTGTCTGTATTGTGCGTTTCTTGCTATTTTGACGCAGTCGTACTTATATCCCTTTCAAAATACCCCAATGACTCAATCATTTTATATGTTCGGTATGGCCCCCACCAATTGTTTGTACCGAGAAAGTCACCTCATGAGGAATTCACACGTCAACATTTGCATGGAGAGTTGCCACCCGGAGGTTACAGTCAGGAAAGCGTCAAAACATGCATTCATTTCATTAGGGTTCTGTGACAACATGTTGGTCTCTTAGTTATCGCAAGAAGTACATATCCAAAGGCTCAGGATAGATCAGCTGCGTGCAGTATCTTCCAGCACGATAGTTCTAGTTCAACATATGTATAACCTCTCAAGCCATTCACATAATCCACAACTTTTCTAGACAAAGTGTAGGAATTGTACTATCACGGGCAATAAACCTAGTTGGGTGTGTCATGCATTCTCCTTGATAGACCGCATAGAAAATGGAGTGCACTAGAAGACAGACAGCCAGCTGATTGGCCCCCAACTCCTGGGTTCCCGATTATTTTTCTACCCAAGATTGAGAAATTCTAGACCTTCCATCCCCTGATATTCAGTAATGCACGGATTTTCTTTATCCACTGTGGAGTTTTTCACGGCGTCGTGTTGTCAGCTCGCGGAACGCTTGCATCCGGCCGCTCGACGAGATCAACTCACGCCGTGGAAGCACACCGCCCTCAAGCCTCGGGACTCGAATTCGTGCCACTTTTCCCACCCGAGTTTTCCCATCCCGCTTTCAAGCTCGCTCCGAGCTTTTTTCCTATTTCGAGATCCTGCACCACGCGCTCGAGATCGTTTCGGGCTGACGTGTTAAGTTTTCACTTTCATCTTTGCGGAGTCTCGTTCTCGTAATTACTACGCGACGCGAACCCCTCCCACCCCCGCTCGTGTCGCTCGGTGAATCGCTCGGCACTGCCCCTCCTCCTCTCCATTTTCTATTCCATAAAGTCCCCCTCCGAAATTTCACGATTTATGCCGGATTCCATCCCTTACCACTCTCCTCCCTTTATGACCGTCAATCCCTCTCCCTCGCGGTTATCTATAAACCGGTTTTAATTTCGTCTTTTCGACGGAGCCGACTTTGACTTTGCATCGATTGAACGAAGTTTCGTTCATGCCTAGATATCGTTGAACCTTCCGCGGTTGCTTCACTCGTCGCAGCTAGTTGCGGCCCAGCGTTCCCGCTGCTCCCTCATCCTCCTCCAATTACGCCAGCTGTCCACACGCTAGCTTCCACGACGCGAACCGAACGTGTTACCAGGTTTTTTTCTCAGGTATCGAGGGGATTTTCACTGGGTTTTCGGTTCGTTCGTCGGAGCGTCCGTTCCGTCCGAGGCGTGGATGTTGGAAAGGGCGGAGGGAGCTCTTTTCCGTCCGTCCACCGCCACGGCGCTGCTCCACGACTCGAGAATTCTGTATCAGGAGCACAGAAGCGAAGCGCACGTCTCGCGGTCGCTGTCATAGATCCCGCCCGCCTGTCACTCCTTCCCGCGCTTCGGTCCCTCCCCGCCCCCCGCCCTTGGGGCCTGTCAGTCTGCGGATACAGTCTCCGCCCGCGCTGAGCTTTCTGCTCCTGTCTTGCGTTTCTGGTCATCGCTCGCTCCACTATCCCTTTCTAAACGGGTGAGTCACCCTTATCCAGCTGCAAATTTCGTCTCACCATGGTATAAATATTAGTTTGAATGAGATCGTAAACCACCACCACCCCCCCCCCCCCCCCCCCCCCNTAGGTATTTCGCACTTGCGCCACCTCTCAATCTCGCTGAGGTGATGTTCGCGGTGTCGTTTTTCGTTTCGCTCCGGAAGAATGTGCAGTCGCACCAATTTTGGCGTGAACGGAAGTACGATCCTTGATTCAGTTCCCTAGAATTTTTTTTAGAGAATTAATACTAGCATGAAAAATTTATCTTTGACCTTCATAAAGTTTTATACTTACGTAATGAGGTTTTGTCAAAAAAAAAAAAAAAAAAAAAAAAAAAAAAAACAGGTGTATTTTCCTCGGAAAATACATTAAAAATCAGCAAAACTAACTTACATTCTATCTCAAGCAAGCCGCTTCTCTCAAGTTGGATCAAAATGTGAGTTTTTGTGGAAAAAACTTTCTTAGGTATTCCAGAGATTAAATAGCAATTGATCATGTTAATTGTGTGAATCGAGAGCGCAACATTTCCTTTTAATCAAAACAATTTCTAGCCCCAAACATAATAGGGACGAACATAAAACTTTAAAAAAAACTTAATCTCAAAAATGCTTGCTTTAATTTTAATTTCTTATTATGAAAACTCACTTGTAAGTATGTTGTTTTTCTTATACCTGTCGAATGCATTTCGGCCTTGTTGTAAGACCAGCATCAGGGACGCTGCTTGTCGTTAATTGATGCTGATAATAACAAATTTAAATTATTCAGTTCTTGTGTATACCCGACCCTAACGTTATGCTTATTTTGAAATTTTTGGGCCTTTTCCCTCACAAGACTGATCTTGAAATTCTTCTCTAAGTATAATCAACTTACTTATTTGTTTCAGAGAAAGAAAAAGAAAGACAATGATAAAGTTGCTAATGGGTCTATTGACCATATCCATGACTGTGATGAAGAGCAGTTAAAAAGAATAGCTGCACAATATGAAGATAAATACGTAAGTACTCTAACAATGCCCCTCTCCCTAAATGATAGTTCTTTTACTCTTTTTTTAAACGGTCTTTTTCTTTGAAAGTCCGTATTTGTCTACTTACAAAAAATATTACATATATGGATTATAAAACTGAAATGATGATTACATTTTTTAAAGGAACATAAAACAAACTGGAGTATGCAATCTCTCCTTTAATACCTAATGCAAGTTTTTGCTTTTTCACTTAACATGAAATTGTTCTTTCAGGGAACCAAGGAGAAAAGGTTTTCAAATTACAATGAACTCGGTGCTGGTTATGATGATGGAGATTCATTCATCGATAACTCTGAGGCGGTAAGTTTTATTCCCTTTTTGTCTCATTCTAATCGGCTGGTCATCTTTTTTTCTTTTCCATCATTCTTTTTTTTTTCCAAATCTTTTTTTGTTTTAAATTTAAAGAAATTGGATATGAGCAGAAGTGCTTGATATTTTCCGACTTTTTTTTAAGCCAGAAAAGCAAAGCTAGGCTAGGACTTCATTCCAAAAAAAAAACAAGTTGATTTTTAAAAAAAGCAGGAACTTGCAATTTCCTAAATTGTCTTTTTTGTCAAGTATTTGTATACACCTACTAACCCCCTGAACCCCCACAGGGCTATGAGAGGTTAGAGGGCTGTGGCGTAGAGTGCTGTGAAAGCGGCTCTTATGCACGTATGTATGACATGCATGTTTATCCATCCACCTTTGCACTGCATATTTACTCTCTCAGATACTTTCCTTGACCTTGATAAAAAAAAAACTGAGGCTCCAGTTAATTACTTTTCATTGTTTGCAGCTTGATGAAGCCCTGTCGGAGCAAGTGGAGCCTGAGTTTGGGGGCTATTACGTAAACATAGGTCCTCTTCAACTCAAACATCTAGATGGTTCTGAAAACTCTGAAGATGAGGAGATAAACATGAGAACTCATAATCTGAAGGTATAAACCCATCAAAGTCATTTAGTTTCTCAGTTCTTAGTCATATCATTTTACAGTTGAACTCTGACAATGTTTGATATTCAGATTTTATTCGTTTTCTCTCTTTTGTCACTTTGTTAATTTATTTAACAGAAATCAGTCGACGTAGCAAGAAGTTTCTCTTAGACTAAAGAAATTTTGTTTGAATGATTTCACCTCTTCATCAACCTAAGTGTAATGTACGGGAGTACTATGCTCTAAAGAAGACAAAAAATGACTCGGTCCAAGTAATGAAGATACAAATATGTTTTTCATATCAAGTTAACTGGTATTTGGTGTAAAACTCAACTGCAGAAATATGTTAATGATATGGTTTTGTGAAGTTATGTTGTGATTCACAGCCATAATGGCAGCAATGCTAATTCTACCTACCAGGTAATCTCTAAATGGATATTTTGTAATTAGTTCGTCTACACCACATCAGTTATAGGCTACTAAGAGCAGTAACCTGCCTGGATTAATCAAAATCTAAGTTTTTCTATCAGACAAGACAAGACTGAGGTGGAATGAAGCATTTGATTGGTCAATCGTAACATTAAACAGCCGCAGGTAAGCTAACATTGGGCCAGATAATTGACTGGTTGTCCATCACCGGGAGAATACCTTTAGGTTGTCCATGATCTGGCCCAATGAAGGCTTGGAATTCAAACTCCACTCTTATCACCAAGCAATCATGTAGCTGCGTTTCATTTCGGTCGCTCTTGTTCCAGAGGGAAATTCAGAATCTCAACAATCGGCTTGCCAGCTAACCGATTGATTATCAATTAAAGTGAGCAACACACACTAGAGTAGCAGTAAAGGCACAAATTAAAGAAAATTAAGAAAACTGGCAAAGGTAGAGTCTCTCTCTACCATTCTCATTCTAAATCTAATCTCTTTTTCAGTACCAAAAGAATCTGGAATGCTTTTTCCACAATACTCTAATTTATGTTGTTTTAGGCTTTTAGTAACTCAGCGCTGTGGTGCTGCTCTACCATTGGAGTGCATTAACACTTTTACAAACGGAAGATACCATTTCTAATTCCAAAGCAGGGCAACTAATTAATTTTGTCTTTTTTCTTTACAAGCTCATACAATTTTTCTTTCTCATTTTCAGAGAGCTGCCAAAGCCATAGTTAGTGACTCTGAAGAATCAGAGAAGAGCGAAAATGAAGAAGAAGAGGAGGAAGAAGATGTAGATAAAGATGACAGCCGAGAAGAAAATCACACTGCCACCAAACATAAAGTTAAGGTAAAAAAAAAAAAAAATATTTTTAATGTGATAACAACCTTTTCAGAGTATCAGTTAAAGCTCTCTTTTCTGAATTTGTAGTTACCTCAATAAGAAACAATCATTCAGTTTCTGATTTTAGGCACTGTTGTGAATAGCATTGGCGGATCCAGCAATTTGGCAACAATGGATTTCCTCCATTTAAACCTATGGAAATGTATCGATTCTTGGAGGGGCCAGGTGCTCTGACAAGAATTGATTATTTAGCGTAGGTTTAAATGGAAAAAATCCGATGTTGCCAAATTGCTGGATCCGCCTCTGGTGAAAGTAGGAATGACTTCTCTCTGCCATATATTCTCCTTCTCTGAAAATTTAACTATTCTCGTGCCAATTTCCCAACATCAAATATCAGCTACAGTGGTACCTCAATTATCTGCTCATCAGCAATCTGCAGATGATGAAGCACCGCCAATATGTCAATATTTGTCTTTCCAAGAGAAATGTAACTGCTGATATCGACAGTGAAACTACCAAACCACGTATCTCGGTTTGCGATGTTGCAGACTTTCTGTCATACTTTATTTTTTAAATAGAAAACTACTCAACGTCAATTCGTGAAAACTTCCATGATTTTTCCTCTTTGTGCGGAGAAAAATCTGTGAAAATTGTAAGGAATGATATTGATTTGCTCTCCTTCAAAAAAATAAAATGTGAGTGGAGATTTTTAAACACCGCAAACGAGATACGTGGTCTTGTAGTTTCACCGTCGTAATACAACGATAGCAAGTGTGGGGTGATAGGGAAATAGTTACAGGCGGGTAACAATGCTCCTGATGAGTTATCTCATACTTGTCAATAAATATTCCATACATATTTTATGCGGTTTTAAGAGTTTTTATGATATGTATTTTCAATTTTCCGTCGTTTTCGGTTTTTGACTTGGGCTTTCCTCACAATTGATCAGATATTTAAGGTATCACTAAATTTGTAAAAAGAACCTGGATATTCATTTATTTTATCTCTCTATAGTTCTCTACAACTCTCTGGTTAATTCATTAGTTGAAGGAACTGCAAAAATTGCATTTGTGGCTACAGTATTCTAATTAATTTGTTGTCTTGTGCATTTGTAAGACATTTATAGTTTTTGCCAGTTTCTAAAATACTCAGACTGCTGGCTTAAGCTGCAGGACTCAGATGAAATTTCTGTCAACACTAACTATCTAAGTACGCTCTCTCCAAAGTTTGGAAATGGATGCATCTTCATGGATTCTGCATTGATATTTTTACTTTGATAAAATGACACAAATGCACCTTGCAGTTGAAGTTGGATTTGCAAAACTTGAATTTATGAATTGAAGGGTTTAAGTATGTAGCTAGAATCTAAGTATACTGGTGGTGTCAATCTTGAGATAAATCTGACATTGATTTTTTTTTTTTCAGATTGCAGAAACAAAGGATGTCAACAATTTGAAGTCTGAAAATGTACCAAATGAGACTGATCAAATTAGGAATAAATCAAATGGTGAAATTAGGGTGAAAAAACAAAAGCGTAAATTAGATCCCAGCACCGATAATCATGTAGAAAAGAAGAAGAAGAAACTTAGCAAATCCTTAACTGTAAAGAAATTATTAGAAGAAAAAAGAATAGCAGATGCATCTCCAGGTAAATATCCCTTTATTTATTCTATTATAACTTTTATTAATCTTCTTGCTGTCTTGGTTATTTCTGCTTCAAGCAGGTTAAATGGCAAATCATAAGATATAGGTTAATTTTCCACATTTTTCTGGAAGTAAATTTCAGTGTAGAACTACTTTTAACCATTTTCCCATGCTTTTTATACCAGGTACACGTCACCTCTTGCTAGCTGTTTGTTGTTAGTCCTGGAAATTTATGTGTTCTACTACATCATCATTTGTTCATCTTGTAATCTATCTTATGGGAAAAACTTAGTATAAAATGAAAGATTCACATTAATTAATAACCTCTTTCAGTGGAGCGCTTATCTTCAAAGATCTTTTATCGATAATTTGCTATATTAACTCTTCACTGTTGTTTGAAGCCTCTGCCCGCTACGACCAAGTTTATTAGCAGGGAGGGAACCATTTTTGGGAGTTACTTCTGATGTGTTCGCATTTGTAACTCCGTTCGAATTTTCTATGATAGTGCCAGGCTGGAAATGCAAATGAAATCATGGATGCACGTATACTTGTGTTTAGCTCTTGAATAATGGTTTTTCTTCAGCTAGTATATTTTGCTAAAGAAAACCAATACTTGCATTTCAAACTCAACGGTGAAATGGTTGAACTCATGACTACTTCTTGAATATTCTTCTTCTGACGGTGACCCTTATCATTGTATTTCATCAAAGCTTTAAATCGAGATGGAAAATTACTCCAGGGACAAAAATCTCCAGGTGATATCTTCTTTTAGGTTCTTGCAAGGAGTAACTTGACTCCAACAACCCTACTGTATGACTGAAATGAAGCCAAATTTCAAGAACCTATGCAGTAAAAATAAATTCACTGTAATAGAATTTTAGAAAAAACATAACCCATCAGTAGAAAATAGCTTGATGACCATTGATGATGAGTAATAAACCATGAAACGGATAATTGCTAGTAATTAATGACCACATTGCCCTTTGAATCCTTCAATTGATCACTCTTTTCAGAATTAAAGTCTGTTTTAATGATCTCAGGAGTTCTTATGCTGTTTAGCCTGGGTTTTTCATTAGCATTGTCGTTATTGATGCACAGCTCAGGAAAAGAAATGGGAATTATATCAGTGGTGACTTTTCTACTGAGTACTTGATTCACTTGTTTTATTTTGCAGAGTGTTCAGACAAGGAGACCTTGCGGGTGCACAGTTCTGTTAATGATGTTATTGAGTCTGTAATTCTTGCTAGTAGGACTGATAGTAGTATTCTAGAAAGAGACAGTGATATTAGCAATGGTTCTAGATCCTCCTCAAGTAAGACTTTCTTCTTTGTCGGATATGTTTTGCTGTCATGTTCTTTTTGAATTTTTGTGACAACAGCAAACTGAACTAACAAATGTAGGCTGGGAGTTATCTTTTGAATGAGTTGATCATATAGAGTTAAGTGTGGTTCTACACTTTAACAACTTTAAACAACTTTTTGTGTCCCAAGTATTTTTGGAATACACAGTTGAACTTCACCCAAAGTTGGAGTTTTGTAAGGGCTTTATTAGAAGTACATATTTTAAAACTGTGAGCACCTGAGACGAAATTAATGGAGCATTTTCAAACCAAAGAAAATTGAATTTGAAACACAAAAATAATTCACTCAAAAATGAAATATTTTTGAGTAAGTGTATTGCTAACCCATGGAAAAAGAGTAGCTTATCAACGCCCTCACATATTTCTTTTTTCTCTCAAACCACCTTTCAATTACTGATAATGTAAAGCCTTGTAGATGGCAATAATTGCAAGCCCTAAACACTGAGGTGTGAAAAAAACATTATTTTCATTATTCTGAATGCGAAACAGATGTATGACTCAGCTTCCAATCGCCCTTGTAGGGCTGTTGTGTGCGATCCACTTTACAAAAAAATCGAATTACTCGCTCATTTCACACATACGTGCATTATTGGTGCTAACTCGTACTTATTTTCCTAAATTGTCACAAGTCAACTGTAAGGTCTCTTATCACACAAACCAATCGTCTCACTATCAGAGAGGGAACTTTCTGCCTTTCATGTCACTTTTACTTAAAACATTTTTGCACTCTGCAAATCTTCTATGTGTTGTATACTCTGATCATCTCTGTGTTTTAGCCTGTCCACACATCATTTTCTTTCTCTTTTTTTGTTTTGTTTTGTTTGTTTTTTGTTTAAGTCAATTCCTTCATCTCCCCCATTTTATGTACCATTTGATATAGATGCACTTTCAACTTTGTAACTTTTTACCCACACTTGCGGATTCTTAGTGGTCACTTCATGCCAGTTTTGCTTTCTAAAACCAAGCAACCTTCAGTTCCAAAATAAGGAACCTATCCCTGTTGCTTCCTCTAATCCCTATGCATTGTCATTTATTCTAATGGAACATTAGGCAAGGTAAGAAATTAAGCACCACAGTACATATTTTCTCATCAAAATTTCACGCAGAACATGGTGAACAAATCAAAAAATAGCATAGCTGACTCTCAAGTGACAAAAAAAAGCATAGTTTACATCATAAACTGTGAATTCAAACTTCCAACTTTGAAAAAAAAAAAAACATTATCAAAGCAGCCTTTAATATCAAGATATATGTTAGGCCTATAACCAGAGCTTAGTTTCTCACACATTTCTTTCCTCTTCTAATGCAAAGTAATTTTAAATTTGCGGGGGGAAACATTAGTACAAAGAGAATTTCTTCTATCGCAAAGTTTACCAAAATTAATAATTTAATTTGACTCAGGTAGATTCTGGTTTTTCTATTAGCGAGAAGTGTGAATTAACATAGACGAAAACTATTCTTTACTAACTTGCTGCGAATTTGGAAAGCTTTAATGCGTACATCGTATTTCATGTAAAAATTCATGAAGAAACACAAAATGTGATGCTTAATTTTTTATGGCATCACGTGGTTCATTTCAAAAGAGGTATGCATGACTTGCATATCTATGTGTATATTGTAGATGTGAATCTCTGGCAAAGCTCTATGCATACACCATGATAAAATACCTACAGAACAAGTATGGATGCCTCAAATCAAATTTTAAAAGGGATGGCCATACATTGGGATCAAGTGAGAGCGAATAGAATAGATTACCAACATATTGAAGATCCTTTGTTGATAGGAATCTAAGATCCTGTGGACATTTCTCCAATTGCCATCAATGGGAGCACCAGCATTTCTGTCCAGTTTTGTTGTACTTACAGAGTTAAGTATGTTTTTCTCTCAGAAGAAAATATGTGCTGCTGCGGTCAAAATTCATGAAAGGTGTCAAAAAAAATCTGACTTTAATTTTTACCTTGCTGACATTGTACGTTTTATACAAATAAGAAGCACTGTGTCAAGTTCTCAATCTGATAAATGAAAGAAAAAAAAAATTGTTTGGGTGAAGTTACAAAGTTGGATAACTTTTGTCTGTTTGCACGATGATTTCAAGCGAGTTGCATGATATTCTCACCTGGTAGCATTTGAACCTTCCAGCTCCTACAACTGTCATAAATATCAGCATCTATGAGCGATAAAGACAGAACTACAGTCTTTTCCGTGAGAATTGCTACCAAAGTTATCGCAAGAGCTAATAAACCCAGAACCTGCTTTAGGTTTCAACCTCTGCAATCGATCTTACAGATTTTCATTGTGTTTTATGAACCGTCTCCTATGAAAGGAAATCATTCAATATCTTTTTCTAGTTCAGACCTTGTCTGGTGCTTCATTGTTCTCTTATTCTGAAGACTCAATTTTTTTTCTAAAATCCTTACCCATACGAGGGGAATGTGGGTGGTGAAAATTTGTTTGCAAACTTAAAAATGTAGACAAGTGTCTGAGTAATAGAGTACTGAATTTCTTCAGTTTATCATTAACATTTGTTGAGGGAGGAAGGAGGGGAGTCAAAAATCAAGATAGAATGAAGGTAAACTCACCATTGTGCATGTGATAATGACAACAAAAATAGAGCTCTTATTTTTTTCAGGATTGCTCCTACTTCGCAATTGTAAATTTTCTAATGGGTTTTTTTGGTATTTTTTTCCAGGTCTTTCAAGAAACGGAGACATGAGTGATCCACGCGATAAAGTGGCTGATGTCAGTCCACCGTCGTCACAAGTTCCTTCCCTTAGTACAAGTGCAAACCAAATGAATCTCAATTCCAATCCTTACATTCATCCTAATAAGGACATCGTACCACTGCCCGCGTACTTACCTGATGATGTTTTAGAAATTATCAAATATATTAAACAATACCCAACCAAATTCCAACATTTAAGCAAAGGCAAATTCTTCTCAGATAGTATTAATAAAGAGTTACTCAGGTAAGTGTTTTTTTTTTTTAAAATCAGCCGTTTTTTGTCTTCTTTTTTCCCCAATGGTTGTTCAACAATCATTTGGTTTAGAAACATTGATATCTAACTAACCACAAAGTTAACTACAACGGTTATCCCAAAAGTCTATGTCAATATCTCCGTATGAGTCAAGAAATGAAGCCAGCAGAACACCGGTTATATTAGTTGAAATAGGTATCATTCTATTTATTTATTATTAATTCTCCAATGACATCTGGTTCAGTTCATTTGTTTAAATTCATCGAAGTATGGCGATGTTTGGCAACATTTTCGTATAACCTCTGGAAAAATTTTACACTTTTTTCATGGTAAATGAAACAAACTTAAGTAGCATTCAGTTTTATCTAAACACAATGTTCGCAGCCAGTACTATCATTAAGGGCTAGAAAAATTTCAAAGACATCTCATTACGAAATGACTAGGATGTTAGGATGCTTGGATGAATCTCATTACTTTTAGCTGATCTACAAAATCAAGCATCAAAACACGATTCTGTGACCAGCTAAACTGACCCATTCTGTTGCGTCTACGTTTGAGTTGTTTTCAGACTTTCGATTCTGAAAGATAGTAATAAAATCATAGAAGCTTTGATGGCTAGTACTTAAATAGAGCTGCTGTCTTTCTGTCTGGCATGCCCAACTAAAGCATAGGGACTAAATAGTATTCTAATCTACGAAGCTCAAGCTAAGAGTTGAATACCTCTAATGAGTCCACATCAGATTCTAAATTTTTACATGTATCTTAAGCCACTCATAATTAGTTTAACCTATTCAAGCACTAGCAATTCTTTGCCTGCTGCACTTAGCAGTACAAGCAACTAGGAGAGCAACTGAATACTCTTTCATGATCTCTTTAATAATATGCATGGCGCATGGGCCAGTTGCGCTGGTCACAGAATCGTGTTTGGATGCTTGATTCTTGTAGATTAGCTAAGAAGAATAAGATCTATCCATACAGTAACTTTCTACTTTCAATATTAACCGAGATATTGCGCCTTGAAAAACTCGATGTATGATGTCATCCAACATGGTAATACATACCATTATATGCACTACCATGGTGGATGACGTCCAAAACATGACTTTTCAAAGGACAATATCTCGGTTAATATTTAACGTAGAAAATTGCTGTTTGGGCAGATCTTATTATTTTTAGCTAATCTACAAGAAACAAGCATCAAAACACGATTCTATGACCAACTCTACTGGCCCATTGGACAGATAGACCAAAACAATCGCATAACAACCGCATGAGTTACCTTGTCAATGAACAGTTGTCTCAGGACAGCACTGACAAGTATACTTGTCTATGCATGCAAATGGGTTAAATAATGCTGCAACTCCAGCCTTTTTCTGTTTTCAGATTGGAATGTAAATCTCGAGACTTGGATCTGTCAAGGCACCAAATTTATGCACACCTTGCGTGTTTTGTTCCTTGTGGGAAAGAAACGCTGATGAAGCGAGCCAAAAACTTACTCATTGATGTAGAAGGAAAAAAATTAGAATCACTTATTAAAGAGTATGTCATATTTATCTAACTGCATTTCAGATCAAACCTAAACCACCTAACTTGCTATAGCAAGCATAGCAAGTTGTTTGCACTTTGAACAATTCAGGGTGGGAAAGAAGCAATGCTCAATTCAAAAGCCTGCCAAAACCATTGTAGTGTGTGATTTGACTATTGTAGAGTATTGTTTTTCTTGCCACTGGGCCATTCAAATTTTCTGTATCAAATGTAAAATAAAAACATCAGTATCTAGGGCTGTGCAAATAGTGAGTTTCAAACGAAACAAATAGTGAATAATTTTGCCCATTATTTGCAAATAGCAAATCATTTAAGTCAACTATTCACAACCACAAATTGTAATACAAATAATTTAAAATAACTTTTTTAAGTGTGAAAATTCGCAAATATTATGAAAGTTGCCAAAATTCGAAAATATTGGGTCGGAGATTCACTTATTCGCAACGGCTAGAATATTCACAATTTGCAAATAGTGCGTGAGTCAGATGAAGCAAATATTTGCTATTCGCAAATATTCAAACAGCCCTATTTGTAACTAGAGTTGATTTCAGTAATTTTTGTGGTGCGAATTGAGTTCTACGTAAAATTCTGTCAAGAAACATGTACTAGAATGGTTTTTGTGTCTTGTCTGCCGGTCCATTGTGTCATTCCACAAAGGTCCAATGCATATTCCTGGAATAGAATACTCAATAATAACAAATCAATTATAAATGCAAATGAAATTTTTCTTGTCATTCGCTGTACCTCTTGCTGCAAATGGCTTTGAAAAAATTTAAGCCTTTTTTTCACACAGCAAAGAACAAATCTAATTTATTTTTCTATCCCCTATTCAATGTCATAAATTGATGTTTCCCTTTGCCCCATAAGATATGACAATTCATTGTCTTTCGCTCGAAGGAACGTATCTCGATTGCACGGTTCCAGTATTTCATACTTCCATTTTATTTGCCTCCTGGAGAATCGTTACATAGATTTCCCTGAAATTTCTAGTGAATTTTTTTTTACCCTTGCAAGGAATGGCTCTAAAATTTTTGAACTGATTTGAGCAAAAGGCTCCCAAAAGAATACGAAATATTTGTAGAAATACTGAAACAGCGCCAATGAGACACATTCCTTTGTGCCGGAAACAACACATTATTCTGTAGAAAAATTGGCTAAACCTTATCGGTTAGTAATTGATTCATTTCAAAATTTATCTGTTTATAGTTTGAAGGTAGCAGTTGATCGAATAATGCCTTCAATCCTGGAAAAACACTCAGAGGCATGTCAAAAAGCAAGCAAGGAAAAGTAAGTGACTTTTTACCCCTTTGATGCCTTATTAAACATTATTATAAAATTCTTTTAATGAAGAATTCTCCGTGAGGAGTCAAATTTTACTCAATGATTCTTCCATTTCCAAGGAAGGATGTGTGCAAAATTGGTCTGTCATCGTGAACGCTCTTGAAATTGTATATTTGAAGGATGTAATTCTGCAGAAAATTTGTCCCACCCCACCCTATCACAGCTGCTATGGCTGAGAATATTGTATGATATATAGTGACAGTGAAAGAAACGAAAACTAAAATTGTTCATGAAACCCTCTTATACAATACAGAACAAAAAAATTAGTCTGCGCTTTTTTACAGAAGTGTGTAGTCCTTTGCGGCATCCTTTCTATCAGGAAGAAATAAAATACCAAATGGTAAATCATTGTTATCCTGATCAACCGAAAGAACATGCATTTTCGGCAGTAGACCTACCAATTATATGGGTCACCATACAGTAGAATCTTGATGAAGAGGATTATTGGTTGTAGGACCCATCCCCCTTACACAGTACTATATTAACTTATTTTTGAAGTGTCTATCAATCAAGTTGATTTACTTAAAGCAATGCTCAGAAAATACATCGATGAATACTTCGTTGCACTTCTTCTCTTTCCCTATCAGAATTGAAATACCCAAAATTTCAAAGAGAAGAATTAATAATTTTTCAAAAAACAATTATAATCTTGTGGTTCTGCCTCTCCTTAGATATCTTTAAAATCCTTCGGATCAAGTTTCTACTGTATTTCAAAACTTGACCCTAAACAAATTTATTTTCTTTTGCCACAGTCCTCATATTTATTGGGAGGTGCATAACTATTACTGGTAAGCAATCATGCATGCTCATTTCATGATCTATCAACTTGGTGTGCCCATAATCCGCAGCAAAAAATCTCAATTTCAATTCCTTAGCCAAATGATGACTTCAGGTCAAGGCTTAGTAATGCATATAACATTTAAAGGGTAATATTGGACTTCGGTATTGGTTGAATCGCAGAATTTTAAGCAAATATTTTTGAAATTAAGAAATTATATGAAGGAAGAAATATTTTGTTGCTCTTATATTAAATCTCCATTTATACAAACAACTTCCGCAAGAGACATATTCTTCCAGTGCACACGGCTTATCCCTAGTGGTTGGAATGTCTCTTTTCTTCTCTGTTTTTTATACCGTATTTATTTTCTCTATTTTACCATATTTTTTTTACCTTTTATTGCATTTTATAAGTTTCCTATTTTCATCATGTGAAAAGAGCATCAATAAATCAAATGGAAATAAATCTCCCACTAAAAATGCAGGACTGGTAAAGTACGTGATTTTCATGTGTGCCGTTGATTCGGACATCCCATGAAAATCTATTTCTTGCTGATACAAATTCTTACCAAGGTTAGATACACCGAATCCCATACATACTTACTGTCTAAAAAACACACTTCAGAAGATTTGTATGCTAACTGCGTTAATGAATCTTTATCACTTGGTAACAAACCACTGCCTCCTGAATTTTGACACAGTCATGGAAAAAAGAGTTCTAAGAGGTATTCCTCACTTTTACAATGTCCAAATGCTGTAAAAGGTTTGTTTGTCAGTTGAAAAGCAGGCTTAAGCACATTCTGAACTAAGTGATGGGTACAAAATGCAGATTTTTATAATTGTTAAGTTTCCTCATTCTGTACTATTCGCTTTAAAATTTTTAAATCTATTTAAAAATTATTTTTGTCATCATATTAATTTTCTCTTAGTTCATCTCTTTCTGAGAATGTTGGTGAGTTTTTTTCATCATGTTTTTTTGAACTTACAGGTACATTGAAGATTCAGTCAGTGGTTGTGCATCAAGTAACTCAGAAACTCGACCTAAAACAAAAGTACCTCGTCGATCCTTCCCTTGGAATGATGAGCTCAAGTGAGTCCAATATTTTTTAAGTCTTTTATCTTTTATTTAGGCTCTCTTTAATGGTGGGTTTACCACAAAAAATAAAGCTGTTATCTCGGAGTGGTTCCTCCATAATCCCTAAATGTGCTACAAATGATGCTACTGGAAACTACAGTAAAATTCGCGTCAATGATTCTAGTTACCAAAGATTTACCTTAATTCACAATAGCTGTTTTTTTATGAATTCAATGATCGACCCACAGTTTGTGTTAAAACATGCTCACAACTTAGTAAAAGGAGGTGCGGGTGCCTGTCCCAGGGAGCAGCAGTTTATTTGAGATGAATCTAGAGGCTAACAACAACTTGTTGTCTTTAATTCAGAAACATGAGCCAAAAAATGGAATTTTTAAGGTTGTTATTTTTTTCTTCAAAATTATTTCAAACTTTATGTTGGTGCAGACGGGAGAAAAACAAGCTGTGTAGCTAAGATGTGTTTGTAGCCCATGAAAGTCTTAGACAGAGTAAAATCCTCCACTCTGTTCCTTTGAAGTATCTCCAGAGAGTGTAGGAGTGAAAAAATCGAGGGGAGTGGTAATGTTGCTGTTGGTTCTGTCAAGCGCGGCTACCCAAGCCAGGAGCAGCATGACCGAAACAAGATTTTTTTTATTTTTTGTATGCTTAAATTCTGCCTACTTGCCTTGTATGAAGAAATGTAAGATTTTATCGGATTTGTCACATTTCTACACCCTCAAACTGTATGGTTTGTCTTTCTCCCAATTAAACTAATGTAATTTTTGTCAAATTTCGAAGGGTCTGTGTGAACTCCAGAAAATTTATTTTTGGGCTCAAATTGGTCTTGTGAATTCAAACCAAATTTCAATTCCTGGACAGTCAAAGGTTTTTAGGGTGGTATGTTAACTGGTGCCTCTGCTACATGCGAGAGGAAGAGCCAAACTGGCTTCAGTTGATCGGCAATCTTCCTGATAGAACTGTCGATCCTCTAGGTTAGAGTTGAAGTAACTTGGATTATCTTGGATATGCTTTTATCTCCCATAGTCCTCAGATAACATTGTAATTTTCTAATCTTTGTACCTATTTTTTCTTAGGAGTTATGTTCGGCAAATTTTAGAAGTCCAGCTGCGAATTTTCAAACTAGTAAAATCAAGGAAAGACACAATAGAAGATTTTGTTCAAAAATTTGTAGCCAATAAATTAAAACCCCTATGGCCTCATGGGTGGATGAAAGTCTCCACTATTCTTAAAGTAGCTGATCTGGAGCTTGCGTACGTATCCTAACCTTATCTTATAAGTGTCACTAACGAAGGAAAGAGCTCATTTTTTCTAAGTTCTCAGGAATGTACCTCCCTAACCATAATCATGATTTTTAAAGAGTGCTCATGCATGGCAAGCATTCTTCAAATTTTTCTGTCTGGTATGAAGTATTAATGTAACTTGTGGGTTCTTTTGCATACTATTGAATCAGATATATGAAGTCGCTCCTCCAATGTAGGGGCATATCTGGATTGCCGCTTGAACCCCAGAAACCAATGGTTGATATGTAAAACAGGGCTCACAAGGGAAACTGATTTACGCCCTTACATCAGAGGGGCGATGATAAGCTCTGTACTAATTGTTGACTTTCTTTTGGTGGATTGATAATCATACAAACATATTTTTTCCAAGTTTTAATGCATTCTGTAACTACCAGCTAACTCGATTTAACCTGCCGCCAAAGTAATTATCATTCTCATCCTCAATTTATAAATGAAAATGAATGACTTTGCTAATTTAATTCATAGATGCCAAGAAAAGATGCTGCTTTTTTATTTTTGTTCATTTTTTAAATCACTATCTGAAAAGAGGGAGGTTTGAATGTTAGGTAATTTGAATTGAATTCTTGTGTTCTAGGTTTTTTTGAATCAGTCTGAGAAACTGCTCTTGATTTTTAAGCCTTTAAACACTCCATACTTTCTTAACAAATAACGAACTCATATCGTCATGCTGAAAATCCAACCCTAAGAAAAAAAAATTATATTATATCAAACCATAATACTTCAATTTTTGTTCTATTCTCTTCTACAGGAACTTTTCTAAAAAGAACACACCAACGACGAATTATCAGAAAAAGATAAACTCCGCTGTTGCTGTTAACAATTCAAGCACCCCTGTCTCTACCAACTCTACTCCTACCCCTCTCTCAACCGTACCTGAACCAACCCAGTTGAGGAAACTACCAGCAGCTAACTCAGTGAAAGACAAATTCAAAGAAACCTCATTACCAGAAATGGACATGTTCTCAGATCCGATAGATCTACTCTCAAAAATAACATCAGCCATCTCACCGAATTCTCAACAAAACTGCAAAGCGTCAACAAGTCCGCAGCTACAAACCAGTCAATCGCCCAAAGAGAAACTTAACTTAGAAAATGAGAACAAAAAGACAGAAACTGTGATAAGTAGGAATAACTTCAACATTGACCATCTCATGGATCTCTCCAAGAGAGAGTCATGCAGTCGGTCAGTTCCGCAGTATTCAAAATCCAACGACCAAGTCCTAGACTTGTCGCCGGGTAAAACTTCTGTTAGTCCGAACAAAACCCCCGAAACGGTAAGTGCTGCCAGTTATACAAGTAACAATTCAAGCAGAGCGAGCTTCTCTGCAAACTTTGTACCTGCGTCAAACCTCTCGCAAGTTCCTCCCCGAACGTCTCTGCCCCCCCTCCCTGCTCACGCGTCCTTGGGGCCACATCTGAAGCACTTAAACGAACCTCAGAATCCAATGTGCCCACCCATGCCAATCTCTACTAGCTCGTCTATGACATACTTCAAAAACGTCCATTATACGAACTCAAACTCACATCAGCACCCGTTGAGTATGAGCCCATCGTTCGCCTCGAATGCTGGTGCTCTGCACGTCTCTCCCGTTAAGTCACTGAGTGTCTCCGCATCGCCATTAGTCACATCCTCATATGAAGTGTCGGCGGACCGAGGTGGTGTCAAAAACAGGAGCTGCGTCTCACGAAATACCACATTCGTCTCTCCGCCAACTTCTGTCTCTTCTCATATCTCTCCAAAGGTAACCTTACTTTGATAACGTGTGCTGAAAATCACTAAAATTTCGTTTGATTCCATACTCACCTTAATTCAATTATGCCACTCAGGAGAGCTCTAAATACCATCACCTCCCTACTCTCCTATTTTTATCTTGCCTAGAAGTTTTTCATTCAACATCTTTAAAAATTCATCATTTATTATTATCATAAATAAATGTTATCTCTATCGATGGGACACAATAGGCGAAGCTGACTTTCAATTTTTCAACTGATAGGTTGGATCATTGGATTTCTCAGCCGGATCAGACTCAGGAATAATTTTAGAGTGCTGCGAGAAATGATGATGACTTTTAGCAGATCTGGCTTCATAATTGCGAAATGAAAAAAATCATGAGATTCAACTAAACAATGATGCCACTGTTTTCCAGCCCACTTGATTTAACATGTCTCATGGACGGAGATAAAATTTCTGCACTTGGCCTGAAGAGTTTAACTTCACAACCAAAAGCTTATAAATCCAACTCTGATCATCATTACTCACGTTTAAAAAGTTTTTCAAATCCAATATACTCTACAAATGTTGACATGATGTTGACATGCGTGAATGCCTGAAATTAATTGCATGAGATGATGTTTTTTACTCAATACTCCAATGGGTCAGTTGAGTCTTTTTTTTTTTTGTGTGTGTGTGTCATTGGAAATTATTAAGTGAACCAAGCTTACAATTTTTTTCTAACTCTTTTTGATAATGGCAATCAGGAGAAAAGCTCGCTCTTAAGTCCAAAAAGTTAGGGAAGCCATGGGGTTTGAGCTGCGCTCTCTTGTTGCTTTTGAATTTACGCGTCATGATCAATATGGTGACAGAATCTGTAGTGGAATAATATACAGCAGTGCTGCTGAGTGTTGATGATTAGCAGAAGATCATAGGCTAAGCTGTTGGTTTTAGAAGAGTGATTTCTCTCAGAATCTTTTTCCAACATTATTCATTACGAGCATCATTGAAAAACTTGTGTTCCTCTCCAATTTTTGCAAAATGCCCAAAATAATTGAATCAGATTTTGAAAAAGCAAATGTATGTCTGCAAGAAGTGACTGCCAATAGGTCTTTCTCTGGTCCAGCTGACTGTCTATTTTTACAGCTAGATGTACAATACTGCCGTGCAACGCAAAAACGCTGTAAACGCCATTTTAATTTTTTTGGAAACAACGTATCATAGCAGAAAAACTTGTGTACCTTGGAACAATTTTATTACAGAATTCTCCTGAAAATACTGTCAAGAATTTAACCTGAAAATTTGAGATGCATAGGTAAAATAGTTTTTATTTTATAAAGTGTTAAGTTCCAAAAACGCGGGAAAATCTTGATGGATTTAAGGCGTTCCTGCTTAGCACGGCAGAATAGTCCTCTTCATTAATTGTTAGCATCGTTAGCACATGTAATGATCAAAATCTTTGCATAGTGTAATTTAAGCTCAGATTATCACAACACCACAGAACAAACTTAACATCGAATGAGATGTCAAAAAAACTTTAAACAGCAGTGTGATAGTAGTTAGTAGGTAGGTGTTTCTGCTGCAATTTTCCATCTATGATGCGTAAATTCAAATGTAGGTAACGGCAGCAAACAAGACGATTCAAAAACGTTTTAGAAGGTCTCAAAAATAAAAGCACTTGTCTTGTCTTGATTTTTCGTGCAGTTTCTCCGAGCACATTGTTCTTTTCATACCATAAACTGTGGAAATCAACTATTTGCAGTGCAAACTCTTCGGAGCTCTCAACTGACCCATTCTCATGTTAAGTTCGAATTTTACTGTCTTTTAATTCTATCTAATAATTCCGGTCAAAAGGAGAAAAAGTTGTCCAAGAATCACAGTTTTCTATAGGAAAGTGGACCTCTGTCCACGAAAAGACCAAACTGAGTTATTGGTATCAGAGTATAGAGTAGAACTCTGAAAGAATTTTGGGGTAAAAATGCCGTGAAATGTCAAGCCGAACTATGAGTCACAGAAGGTTGAAGTTTGCAGCTCAAGAATCTCTGTTCTAAGAAAAAACTACATAGAATTCTACTCTGTAATGTTCACAGCAAAAAATTGCTGGATGAGAAGGAAAATTTATGGCATCTCTTGGCACAATAGTAAATTTAGAACCGAATCAAGAGAATAGAGTGAGTTTTCCATTGAAGTCTCAGAAGCTGATTTTTCATCCCTTTTGTTGTCCCCAAGTTGCTTTTCTAAAAATTTTGCCCTAGTAGACTGTAGTACCCTTTCCCAAGAATGGTCTTGTATGAGAGAAATGTTTTAATTTATGTTGCACTGCATCTTTGTACAATGCACAGTGTAATGCCACTACTATAAACTTTTTTCTCGCTTCTCATTCATGTACTGTAATTTTTACCAACACGTTGAGAAAGTCAAAAAGTCAAAAATAGTTTCTCTTAAGACTAACATCAGATGTAATGCAGTGCATAACTGGAGAAAGGAAATCATTGATGAAGGTTGTCACAGTTGCAGGACTTAGTCAACTTTTCAAGTCATTTGAATGTAACTCTCCACTGTAATACACCATTCATACTGTCTCCTTGGAGGAAGCATATTTGTATTTTACACTGAATAATCGTCATCTTCGGTGTCGAAGAAATTTCGCGAATCATTTAAAAAAAGTATCATTAAAAAAGTAAAAAATAACTCACTCTCTCCTTCCTTGAAACTTTCTCTGCTTATTTCTCTGTTTTGACAGAGCTTTGTGCAGTTTAAATGAAATCCTGTTTAATCCACTGAAGACTGGGCCTACCACAGTGTCACATAAATCAGTTGGAGACTTAAATGATGGGAAATGTTATCTTAATGCTGTTAAATGTTATAGCATATGTTTTTAATGTTTAGGTCAGTGTTAGAAAGCCCAGTGATAGTCTGAGTCTCTGATCAGGTAAGCAGGGACTCAAGGCAAAGAATAAAATGTGAATTACTCAGAATCGAATATTGCCTTGCCTTCCTTTTCAAAATGTAATTGACTCTACAGCTCCAATGTCAGTAATACCCTTGTGCCATTCTCTGTTTTAACCCATGGCAAAAATCAAAGAATATTTTCAATTGGAAACTCAAGATAATTTTTTTTACTTCTTTCAGAGGCCGAATTTGAAGACTTAATTGATGCACATATTGTCCACTTCTGTGATTTAGAATATTTTCTCAATATCCTCTCAAAACAGAAATGTCTGAGGTCTCATGAACACTTTTTTTTGCTTAAGAAAAGACTGAGACAGTTATGCATAAACTTTGGTGGGTTGGTCTAGGAAAGCTTTTACGTCATGGTTTCATGAACGATGTCCTGCTCTGCCCAGAATAAATCTAGTTAAATAAAAACTTACACTTTTCTTGAAACAAAGAAAAACGTTCGCACAACCCCAACTTTTTTCTTTTAATTGAAACATGAGTTATGAGTTTGTTTCATAATTTTTGAAGAAAACCTCATCTCCATTTCATTTTTGTTATTTTAAATATTAATTTGACTCCTTGTAATTGAACTTTATACCAGTCTTACCTTTTTCATTTTCTCTTCCACAGGAAGGAATGAAACCAGTTAGCTTGAAGCACCGGATCCTTCAAGAAAGTATGAAGGCCCAGGCAGAATCTGACTCCTTCAACTCTCTAAAAAAGCCTCAACCTCTCAATTTTGATGGTGGGAAAAGTGAGCCTCTGCGGCTTCCTGAAGAGAAGAATATTTACTCTAAAGCTGAGCCTGATTATCAGGAAGATTCGAAAAAATCTACATATGAGAATATAATTAAAGTAAGTTAGATTTCATCTTAATAATCGCTAATCCTCAACATCAATCAAACATAATTGTTATTCGTAAATGCCTCAAATTTATTGCATACAGATTCCCGTGGGCCTGTTGTTGAAACTATTCAGAATCTGTATTGTTCATCTCTCTAACAACAAGATGAATACAGCTGAAAGAGGTATTTTGGTCCTGTTACTTTCTATCCTGTATACTATGAGGTCTAGAACAGTACCCTAGTAGATGGTATTTATCAAGAAGTCAGAAAAAATACAACAAAAATAATACCTAGACACCGCCCACATACATTTGTTCAGGAATAACATTATAATTGTAATTTAGCTCACCTCTAAATGCTAAAGGGTTGAGTGCAGCCCAAAACGTCATGTCAGAATGTGATTTTGCTGAAAAATGTGAGCAAAGTTTGCCCTGCAGCGTATTCGTTTTCTATCTCTAAGAAGTCTGTTTCATCACCCCGAATTCCCCAACATTTTGTAGGAGGTGGAGATGTAAATTTTGCAAGACATTGTTTCCATAAGTTGGTTGTTTTCCTATTAGAAAACGTGACTTAAACTCCCTTCTAATCAACGCCTATTGGATTAAAGACATTATCTCATTCAAAACTTGATTCCATCATATTGCCACTCTTTAACGTACGTGTCAAGGTGCACATCTACAGAAAATCATCAGTAATTCTTGCTCTGCGACGAAGTCGTCCCCTTTTTAGCTATCGGTTTGCCTGTAGAAAAATTTTAAGGCAAGGAAGAACCATGTCCTTAAGTTTTGGTTTAATAGGGAAGTTTTAAAAAAAGTATGCAATTATAAAGAGTGTCCTGAAAACCTGCCAAAATTTCAGTTACAAAAATCAAAATCCTGCTCTGTTTTCAACACATTTGGAGTGGCTAAAGACCTCTAACACAGAGTGCGTGATTTGTGAATTTCTGAAACCTCCGTTCAAAGCTGCTACTCCTAACATATGTAGATGTATTTGAGTTTTACTGTACCTGTCTTTTAAAGAAAATTACACACTTTTCAATGTTACTTTCATGTAGATTTTTCGGCTGTCGGAAGATCGGAGAAATATTCTTTAAAGACTTTAAGACAACTCCTAAACTTAAATCAAACTAACTATCTCTTTCAATTACCTTACAAGATTTCCTGCCATTTTTCAAGTTTGTTCAAAGTACCGCACGATCTGTGAATGCCTAGCTGAGTTGTTTTTGCATCCCTGAATTAAAATTATCAAACTTTGGTCTTTTCTCTCCTTTAATCTCAAGCCGGTTTTTTCAAAACTATTCACTCTTATTTCTCTGTCAGAATTCTTTTATTGCCTTTATTTGAATTGGATGAAACTAGGGTATATTTAGTCTTCATAGCATTGCAAACTTGAGTTTTTTGCTGGAAAAAGCAAAACTTAATATTTTTTTGACGCACGCAACCAGGAAGAGAAAATCAAAGTCAAAACGGATGCTGAGCTTGAAGCAGAGCGGCGCATGATTGAAGAGACGATGACTGCTACAGACGTTTTGAACCGTATCATCAATGAGTCTCTACAAGACCCATCGCCAGTAGTCCATGATGACATTAAGCCACTGGTAGGCACCAATTTATCCTCAGGGCAGTATTTTGCACAGCTTTTTTGGGTCATGGGCAATTGGGTCTATTCATATCATAGGTCCTCCTACTGATAGGTATATTTGCTTTTTTGTTAGATTCCTCAATAGAACTAAGGGGCTTATTTTAAAAAAAAAAACTTAACATCCTCGCACTTGCCAAAAAGTGACTGCACCGAGAATCAAAGATGGGAAATCGTTTTACCCAAAACTAACCCCATTTACAACACGCTCTGATCTTGCTTTTATCCAAAAATCTGGTTTTCTATTTATTGAAATCTTCAAAACATTGCCGATGAATATTTGCTCATTTTTTAAACCGTATTTGTATTTTCTTTCAAGATTAGTATTTCATACTCACCCTTTCTTTTGCCCCTGGAAAGCAAAAGGGGGGATTACCTTCTTAAGCTCTCAGTCTTTTTATTGAAGTTTAGCCTTGGAAAATTATTTTCTTTGTTTTTTTTTTCAATGGACCACTAGACAAGGTACGGATTTCAGCATTCTGATACATGTTTCTTATCTAGAATTTCACGTAAAATACGATGCACACAACGAAAATTACCGAAATCAACTCCATCCGAAGATATTTAATGATTCTTGGGGCGTGAATTGAAACCTCCCGCTCATGAAAACTCAACGCTCTACGTGATCCACATCGCGCGCTAAACGTTATCATAAACGTCTCTGCGATAAAGAAATCTGGCAACCTCAATCTTGACGCTTTGGCTCACAAGGGGAACTTCCCAAGCTGCCGCCTCCGATCGGGCTGAAAAAATTCGTACGAACTCTTTGGATGAATTTATTTGACCCGTATTTTTTTGTTTTTTCCAATGCCCCCCAGAAACACCCCAAAAAAATTCCGGAAAGTTTTGCTTTGAGCGCTTGAGTGTATATACGCAATATAGCTGTTCTCACCTACCGTCAAGTGGTGGCTCTGCGGTAGCGCGCTCGCCCAGTGATCCGGCGGGCCCGGGTTCGATTCCCGGGCGCCGCGCTAAATTTTTACGACCGAATTTTATATTCTCACACATTTTCACATCGATTCCCATTTGATACATTAGAACTTAAAACATCAATTAATTTACAACCATCAACGATCAATAACTTCTTCAATTTGAAGTGTAGATTTTTTTGTGGGAGGGGGGAGGGGTCACGCGCACGATATTTTCGCCAATCACTGTACTTTCACATTAGCAGACGACCCGCTCCGCCCCCTCACATCGACATATTTCTCCCGATCACCCGTATGCGTCATGATTTTTCCCATCACTATCCAGAAAATGATAATGAAAAATTACTTTGAACATTCAAATTAAAAATGCTACAATTTTTCATTATCATTTTCTGGATAATGATGGGAAAAATCATGACTCATACGGGTGATCGGGAGAAATATGTCGATGTGAGGGGGCGGAGCGGGTCGTCTGCTAATGTGAAAGTACAGTGATTGGCGAAAATATCGTGCGCGTGACCCCTCCCCCCTCCCACAAAAAAATCTACACTTCAAATTGAAGAAGTTATTGATCGTTGATGGTTGTAAATTAATTGATGTTTTAAGTTCTAATGTATCAAATGGGAATCGATGTGAAAATGTGTGAGAATATAAAATTCGGTCGTAAAAATTTAGCGCGGCGCCCGGGAATCGAACCCGGGCCCGCCGGATCACTGGGCGAGCGCGCTACCGCAGAGCCACCACTTGACGGTAGGTGAGAACAGCTATATTGCGTATATACACTCAAGCGCTCAAAGCAAAACTTTCCGGAATTTTTTTGGGGTGTTTCTGGGGGGCATTGGAAAAAACAAAAAAATACGGGTCAAATAAATTCATCCAAAGAGTTCGTACGAATTTTTTCAGCCCGATCGGAGGCGGCAGCTTGGGAAGTTCCCCTTGTCAGCTATAGCAAATTACGTATAGTTTGAAAAACACACGGTGGAAAATGAACATTGCTCGATTGAGAAGCTTGCTGAAACCGTTGTAGTGCGCGATTTGACTCACGTAGAGCTTTGAGTTTTTTGTGAGCGGGCAGTGCAAACTCCTCGTGACCAATGAGAAATAGAAACGTTAATATCTTCGCGAGGAGTTGGTTTCAGTAATTTTCGTTGCGCGAATCGTGTTCTACATGAAATTTTGGTTAAGAAACATGTATTAGAATGATTAAATTCGTACCTTGTCTAGTGGTCCATTATAGTGATGGAAAACGTTGAGAATTGAGATTTTTATTTCCTCGTTTTCATCACTTAATTGCATGGCCGCAAAAAATTCTTTAGGTGTTGAGAAACACTCTTTGTCATCTTTAGCAAAATGTAGAACCCTGCTGATTGTGACAGAAATTGTTACATTAAGTCACTTACTAATTCCACGTGCTCAAAATTATCAACTCCTGCAGAAGTATTTCATATTTTACTTATAATTAGATGGTGGTTGCTTATCTTAGATAACGGACACCAAAGTTACTTACCGATTACCCATTTTTAATCCATTTTGACCCTTATCAATACCCTTCCATCATTGAAAATCAACTATGTACTGTCATCTTCCTTTTGCCGCTACACCCTTTTCACTAATCAGCAACATAGAAAAATAAATGCTTATTACGGGTAGTTTTTGCTAAAAATACTCCTAATCCTTCAACAGTGAAGAAGGCTGTATTGCTACCTTTCTGATGAAAAGAATATTTTCTTCTACTAAGGAATTCAAAAATTCCATCTTGATTCAAGGACAACATATTAATGAGAGGAACTTTACGCTTTAAGGGTCTATATTTACGCAGTGAATCTATAAATTTCTTGCAGACTTTAAATGTATCTTTTATGAGCTTCTTAGGATCTGATAATCTGATCCTTGAATAAATTATTCAAGAAGAGTGTAAAAAAATGGTTTAAAAAGAAAAGGATTTTTTAGGCTTTTCAGATGGCATTCTAAGTTTCATCGGTTTCGCCCATTTAATATTACTTTATTTTATCTGAAAAATGTCACTTCTCTAGACAGCATAGTAATGAGAGTATTATTTGCTCCTTTTTTCCCCCTGTCTTTCTTTTTCATGAGATTCATTCTACTTCTGTTTCATAGTTTGAAATTAATGTTGCTTTGGGTCTCTTAGCTCTCTGCTTTTGCTTTTGCTCATCTTTGGGTTCATAAGTTTTTTAAAGATCTCTTTTGGGTCCTTTAAACTGACAAGACCGCAATTTACTTTTCCAATTCTCGATGCTACTCTGCAGCCAGTGTATGTTCAACAGTTTTCTCCCCCATTTACAATAATCTGTTTCTATGCTCCTTCCTGTAAGCACAGGCTTAATCAACTTTTAAATAGGCTTTATCGCCCTGATGAACATTTTTACCCATCAAGGGAGACACACTGGGTTTAAACCCTGAGAGACTAGTCAATGATGTAAGTCGGAAATCACATAACTCGGTTTGCAACGTCGCAGATTTCCTGTCATACTTTATTTTTTAAACGGAAGAATACTCAACGGCAACTCTATTTAACTGCCGTGATTTTTCTTCTCTGTGCAAAGAAAATTCTGCAAAAACTTCAAGGAATGATGTCAATTTGTTCTCTTCAAGAAAATAACATAGAGGCGGAGATTTTCAGACACCGCAAACGTGATATGTGATTGCGGACTTACGCCATCGTAGTGCTTTTAGCCATAGAGTACATAGAGTCGTAATGTAATTGGAAGAGCTGGCACCACTTTTAAGCATTTTCCATGTCCCGAACTCCGAGACTCCTGTGTGACGCCGGGTCACTTTTTCGATACATAATCGATTGCTTGCGATACATGGGTACCCGGCCATCCGACAACAACAACAACAACAACAACAACAAAGGAGATAGGAATTACCACACATTCCACACTGCCATTTTGGATCGAAAATGTATCAAAAAAGCGACCTGAACTCGGCGCACACCGGGCTCGGAATTCGTCGAGCAGAACATGGCGCCAGCTCTTCCAATTACATTACGACTCTATGCACTCCATGCTTTTAGCCTACAGTTTGGTGCAATCTGCACTGTGCCTGAAATCGGTTCATTTTATTAGGACATCTCCTTTATCAGGGACTGAAAGACTCATTAGTGGGTACATACTTTGTTGAATCGTACGTAAAGTATGAAAGAACATGGATTTATGAGGTGAAACCTAGCCAGTAAGACTGAGCTAGACTAGAATATGGAAGAATAAATTAATGAGTCTCAAGGAGAATCTCGAAATAAGCACTACCCAATTGCTCTCGTAAAAGTATAAGGGAATTAAGGTCGGTTTGCCCGTATATGTAAATTAGTTATTAGCTATCTCCTCCTGACATGCATTTCCTAATTTGGCAATTTTATCCTTAATATGCAAGTATTTTTAGAGAGGAATGCATGACAAATTCTGAAATAACAGCCAAATTTTACTAAAATACCTACCCTCTTCCTCGTCCTCTGGGTTAAAATATTTTAATAGTTCTTCGAATTTTTCACCTCATAATAATGTACTCGTTTAGTCAGTAAGTTCTCAGATGAATGTATGCGTCTCCAATAGTTTTCATCTTTTCTCCTCCTATGCCTCAATAGCCATCGCAGCCATCTTTATAATACTGGATTGTTCTATATTTTCGTCTAATTGACATCAACTAATGTTTTCCTGCAGCAGTGTGTGAATGAAATGAAACCACCACCGCCTGCCATCATCAAAGATGATCCAGGACTGCAAGAGCGGAAAGTGCGCTCGCAAAGTGTGGAGGAGTGTGAAGCATCCATGGAGGCTGTCATCAAAAGCTTGCAAGATCTTCAGAAAATGTCAGGCAACAAAATAAACACACCAGAGCGAAATTTTTCCATGCCACATGCAATGGAAAGTGTCAAGCTTAACAATAATATCAAGGTATGCCTCAATAAAGCTGTGATAAAAAACTTTCAAAAATTATTCGCTTTTTATCAGATTTTGTCGGGACTACCTGATTATGAATGGCAGCATGAGCCCTTCTGTCTCAACAAACAAATCTCCAGAGTGTAGCCTGAATTGCGAAGCCTTGATGTCAATCTCAGCATCATCATGAATCCTTTTAAGATATTGCCCATTAAGCGGCTTGGCCTTCCACTGATACCCTATTTGCTCTGTGGTTGGGAGTGTTCCCACTAGACTTGAACTTTAGACGTGTGATATTGTCCTCTGCCTGCCTGATGATCTGATGCAGCTTGCTATGCTTGGCCTTATCGAGAAAATTCTTTCTCAGGTTTTCAACCTGCTGATGGTGCCTCCGTAGAACGGTTGAAATTTCCCTGCCCCCTTCAGCTCGCGTTAGGTGGAATCTTTCAACACAGCTCCTTGGGTGATGCGCTGGATACTTTCTAAATTCCCTCCTTTTTGCAACAGCCAAGGTGTTGAGCTCCGTTTTGAACCAGCTGAGTATGCAGGGTGTCTACCAGTCCGGAATTTTTTTGTCGGCCTCCTGTGGTGTAGTGGTTGTAGCGCTGGCTCTACAAGCAGGAGGTCCCGGGTTCGATTCCCGGCTAGGCGACCCGAGTTTGATGGTCTCAAACAACGGTTGCCCTGGGCTGGTACATGGTAGGGACGGAGGGGGAGGGGCTCTAACTGGAAGCGCAAGGATTACCACTTGTGTGGTATTTGAAGTAGTAAAAAAAAAAAAAAAAAAAAAAAAAAAAGAAAGTCCGAAAATAGTACTGTGTTTTCATGGGCGGTCCGGAAGTATTGAAAAAGTGCTGAAATTCCACAAGACGGTCCAGAATTTCTCACATTTTTTGTCATTTTTGTCGCAATTTGAGCAGGAAATTCAAATTTTTGAAAATTTTTGAATTTCCTCAAATCAAGGTACTGAAAAAGTACTGAATTTTTCTGTTAAAGTGGTACTGAAATGATTGGGAATGGACTGAAAAAGTACAGTATAAGTACGGATTTTGGGCCAGCCTGTTTCAGTAGACACACTGGTATGCCAAGAGTGTAGGTCAACAGTGAGGTAGCATAGGTGTTTACTGCCAGCGCTGTGTTCCAGCCAGTAGAAAGTTCGGACTTTAATATGGCTCTGAGTCCTCCCTTGTAATCATTCGAGGCTTTACGCTTTGAGTCTATTCAAGGATTATTATTATTATTTTTTATTACGTCCTTAACGCCCACAGCCTGATGTCGGCTCTTTCGACTTCTCCTGGCATTTCAACGCAAAGGAAAGTCAAACTTGAGTCTTTCTAAACAACTCATTAAAAAAAAAAAATAAAAAATTGTTTCAAAGCTAAAAATTCACGAATCTCCACAATCCTTAAATGAAAATATTAAAATGTGAAAAGTAAGACCTTGAAAATCTTTTGTTTAAAATGTTTAAAAGTGGCTTTTCTTTGAAAAAAGATTATTATTCTTTTTTAAACACCCTTGGTACTGATCTAAAACTTTTTCTGTTTACAGCCTGTAAATCTAGATTTTCCTGCAGTAAATCATGAAGTAGAATCACCGAAAGAGTCAACAGGTATGCCAAAAGTTGCGCTGGGCTTTCAAGCTGAATTCTACAAGCATCTTCTGAGTGACTCACCCAAAGAGAAAACACCTTCGCGAGGCCCTGAGTAAGTTTTTTTTATTTCTTTTTCTTAGGTTTTAGTTTTCCCATTTAAAGAGCAAAAATTGGAGGGGGGGGGCAGTCAATGTTAGCAAATATGGTAAAAAATTGCTAGTATAAATTTCTGGAATTCTCATTACCTTTTTTCTTCCTCTTTGAAAGATTGAAAGGAGAAAAGTTTTATCCTCTTAGTTTTATCCTTTTTTAAGTTGCATTCGATCAATCAAGTGTCCAAATTCTTCTTTCTCTTTCCTCAACAACTAGAGCGATACTAGGTTTATGAAACTCATAAGCACCCAGCACATACATCAAAAAATTAGAACTATTGAAAAGATTCCTTGAACAAACTAAACAAAAAACAAGGACTAAAAGCAACCATGTATTTTCAAGAGAAGTGAGCTACCAGCTTTGTGCCCATCTCTTGGGCAGTCTTTCTCATAATCCCCTTTCCTGGGGTCGCACAGCCATACCAATTTTTGCCACTAAAAATTAAAATTGAAAATACAAAACAGTTTAATCCAATTATTTCTCAATACAATATAAAAATTACCGTTCCTACCTATGTTTAAGACGCTCCCATATGAGGCACAAAAAAGAGTGTATTCTTTTTTTGGGGCCCTTTGAAGATAGAAAAGAAAGCTTAGTTAATGGCCTTCCACACCAAAATTTTTCACTGGCATCATATTTGAGGGCAGACAGCTGATGCCTGATGACTTTGGCCTCTCAAATACTTTTAAGTCAAAACCTGCAGGATAAAATCTTCCTATGGCGAACAAAATGCACGATAATGCAGGATATGGAAGAAAGTATCTAAGATACAGGAGGAAAGTTTGTAGATACGAAGTTCATAAGTAAATGACAATAGTCATTTACTTATAACAACCTTAAGTCTTAGTCTTTATTACCTGCTGCAACAAGTATAACATTAATAGGAAACAAATGGGCAAAGGTCATCTATCCTGCAACAATCAGTGATGTAGGACCTGAAGATGCCGCTTAATTCACACATCAGTCATTGGCCAGCAAAAATCGGCCGTCGGCTGTGCTTACTGCGGGTTACGTCCAGAGGCAATACCTGCCTTGATACGCATTCCTACTTACAGAGCAAGTTTCTCCTAAAAGATACCTCGTATTTACGACCAATTATGGTAAGCAAATTTTGGTGGATGAATACTGTGTTAAGTAAACTCATCTGGTTTTTGATGGAAGTGTCTCACAGACAACTATTTGTTATTGTTTCAGAGTTCCTGAGTTGTATCGATCATATGAAGACTCATCAGCAAGGTTACCAGATCCAATCATCAAAATTGAAGGTATTTCTTGCATACCATAATTCCATAACGGATGAAGGATTTTTTTTAGAGATTTTGAATACTATTCTGTTCTCAGAATTACATAAAGGTTGTCAGTAAAACAGACTTTACAGTGATTCCTTCACTGGCGTTTCATCAAAATCTGCTGAAAGGAAAATTTGACCTTTCCTTAGAATACTTAGAGAGGTTTTATATCTTTCTTCATTTACTAAAGTTATTTGTTGAAATGACAAATAAGTGGATTATATAGCCGCAATTGTCTGAGTCTAGGAAAAATAAAAACTATAAAATGAGGCTAGAACACTGAGGAACAGAATGTTATGTAAGCGCCAGATCTATACTGTAGTGAGACAAAATCTCAGGGAAGAGAATTTTCTATTGAGGAAGAAAAATTTAAAATGAAATTCCAATTTTTGCCAGTACAAACTGAGAGTATGAGTAATTAGCTGAGATAGGTGTAATGCTAGTCTCAGTTTCACCTTTATTAACTCTTTTGCTGCACCTCATTTGGACCAAGCCAGGCAGATCTCCAGTACCTTCTCTTTTTTTTTTTGGGGCTTTATTTTCAACATGATAGTGTATACCTCTCACAACATCCTGCTTCCATGTCCAGGTGCATCAGTCATTCCTGTGGATAGTGATCTCTTGTGTCATGACATGTATCATTTCAATTTTGTCAGAAAATTGTCCAAGTAGGAGCTCTTCATGAAAAGAGCCGTGTTGTTTCACTTTAAGAGTGTGATAGGATAGAGGCAACTGCCTTATTGACTGCATGAGGAATCTCTTGTTTCCCCCCCGAAAAACCAAAAGCAGAAGGAAGGTGTCACTGAAAGAAAAAGGTCTCTTCTCCTGGAGCTAATCGTTCGACCTATAGCTGGGGCGGCAACACCATAGCAGTGTTTGTCAGGTTACGGTAATTTATTCTGTGCTGGAACAACTAACTTGCTCGTACAAATGAGAATATAGTTTATTCGACATGAACAAAAAACAGTTCATCTCCAATGATTATTGCAATGAACCAAAATTAAACTTGAACAATGTAAGATTTCACTCAAATGATTGGGAATTATTGCTAAAAGAGCATGGTTTGAAAGTATAGAAAAATATCTTCTCAGACAAGTGTTCAGTGTGCAGCATTTTTAAAGGTGGGTGCCTAAAGAGTAGCTGAACCGCATCATCTCAAATTTCGATTTTTCATGTTTTTTTTTTCTTTCCAATTCTGATGGATCATGTATGGATTCCCTTAAATTTACCGCCATCATGGAGTTCAAATTTTTTAGCTCTTCCCGTACATTTGCTCTTTTGTCCCCATACCATTTTGCCTTCAGCCTGCAAGAGTCACCCCCAATTCTTCCTTGAACCTACCCTTAAGTTGGTGCTGTCTTTAAGGAAGAAAATTAAGAACTTGTTTTCTTTCAAAATGTTTTTATATAGGCAACCCTCAGCCATCCGCACCAAATCATTGTTCGGTCATCGTACCTGTGTCAGCCAATCAGAGTGGATGGCATTACAGAGGTTAGCCCTGTTTAGCCTCTTAAACTTGCAACCTTGCACTAATTATTCTCCCCCAGCATAACACTTATTATTTCCATGTTGCTTTCTAATCCTCCTACTTGGTGCCCATAAGTGTTCACTGGTGATCAAAAAATCATTGCTTTTTATAACCTATTTCCTCTGCCTTAGTCCGAGTCCAACACAATTTCAAGAACTTTCCTCTCGAGCACGCTAAAATCTGAAGAATTAAAGCTTTTTGTAATGAAAAATGCTTGAACTAATTAGATCTATTCTAATTTGTCACCATTAGTGCTTCTAAGTACAACCTTGTCTATGCATACATACAAAAAAAGAAAAAAAAGAAAAAAGAAAAAAAAATACTGCCTTTAACTCAATTTTACTTGCTTTAATATCATATAAAACTTTTCCTTTGCATTCAATTTCTGTTCTCCTATACAAATGACGCTCCTTTTTTTTTTTTTTTTTTACACGGAACTCAAAGCTTTATTTAACTATTAAGTATTATATACGTCTATCCATTCTCCATCACATAAGGATTTTTCCAACCAAACAGCATATACTCATGTCAATATTGCCAGGACAATGTATTTTTTTTACAATTCAACTCATAGAGAAGTATTCACTCCTGCAATTAATTCCAAATTTTCTCTGTAATATTCCAAATTCAGAAAAAAATATACAAAATAAGTCCAGTCAAACGCCTGTAGAGAAAACAGAGTTGTACAATCTTAGCAATGTTGACATGAGTATACCTACATTGTTCGATCGGAAAGGTCCTCATATGTGCGTAACTGTCCACAGGAAGAGAGACCTGTTTGCCAGTGAACTCAAAACTGGCATCTATACTTGCAGGAGTTTTTCGCAAACATTTTGGAATGATAAAGATGAATATTTAAATTTAAAGTTTTAATTTGCCATGTTTGGCACTCAGAAGTATTTAATTTAATTGCCACATCTTGCCCTCTTTCGGCTCAGAAAAATAATTAAATTAATGGTAACATATTCTTTAGGATTAGAGAGTTTTCCATGGAAAGTCGGTATTATCTGGTATATCCATGGTAGTATGTATTTGACTCCAAGCATGCTAGTCCCTCTCCCCATGACAGCCTTATATTCGGATGTTCATGTTTCAAAATATTTACATGTCTGCAGATGACTTTCAACTACAAATGGTGATTTCAAATTAAAATTTTGCTCCTTTTTTTTGACCTTCCGCGAAAGCTAAAGATGCTTTTTTTTCTTTTTTGCTTGCGCTTGTTTATGACTAATGGTACCTCAAAACATATTTTTAGTAGTTTCATGAAGTAAGATCAGATTGAGAATATCCATTGAGATAAAGAAAGTAAAAGTTGCACTTCTTTACTAGCAAATCACTTCAATATAACTATGAAGGGTTAGGAAGTAAATCGGTGTACTATATAAAATAAAAAGACAGTCAAAATTACCTAACTTTGACTTAAAATTGGACCGCATTTCGGAGAAAGGAACCAAGCCACATCAGTAATTGCCAAATTTAACCGGGCAATTGAATTTTTTACAAGAGAACGTTTGTATGGAATCCTTAGAACATTTTAAGTAATTTTCTTCTTACTATGCAGAAAGTGAACCGAAGTTTTCACAAAAATCTGCTCAACCGTTTTTATATAACAAAGTAAATTGCTCAATTTTAAGCGAAAGCTGATGTGGCTTGGTTCCTTTCTGTTTGACGCGGTCCAATCAATATAAGTTTTGCTTGATTCAAATACCTTAGTAGGTTCAATTTCGGGTCAGTTGATTGCAGTAATATTATGATTTGATTCTCCATAGGTACTATAAATCTCTGATTTATCTGATCCAAGATTAAAGTGAGAAAAAGTATCAAAGAACCAGCTGCATCAGCTCGGACTGGCTCATCTCAGAAGATCTTCTCCCTCTTTCCATTTTGTATTCTGCCAGTATAACTAAATATTACAAGCATTATCAGAGATCATACAATTTCTTTGAAAAACTTCTGTTAAAATGGGCGTTTTTTGCCCTATATGGAATGCTTAAGGGGAACTGTATAATACAGCACAAATGAATACCTATCAAAAAGCAAACTTATCAAGTTTTTGCAGTGGTCTTTGGCCTCATTACTTTGCGGAAAAATAGTCTGTAATCAAAAGAGGTTGAGAATTGCCGTCAAACTGGTACGAAACACTCATAAATATTTCAGTGGAGACTTTTCAAAAAGAAAGAAAATGCATGTAATAAAAACTTGGCAACATGTTTCACACAAGTGTGCAAGTGTAGATCACACTCACATTAGTCACACTTAGAATGAAGTGAGCACTGATAATTAGAGCTCTATTGTACCGATAGAATGTCATGTCTCTCTATGATTATTTTACACAAACCCCTGTTCACTTTCATATGTATTGTTATCGACATTTTTGCACTCTTTCCAGATCAAAATCATCTCAGCCAAGAGTCACCGCACTCCCATCGCTGATACTGCCAAAAAGCAACTGCATGTGCAAATACAACAGGAAGAAGCAAACCATGCTCAAATTTTTTCTGTTTTAATCTTGTAATATCTGTAATAAGTCACCGTGTACATTATGTTTCAAAATTATTTATTTCAACTGTGAATACTGCTTCATATTTTTATGATTTATTTTTATAGTCAAAGTGTATAGAATTGTTTCGGCCAGATCAAATTACCTTCATCTTCGAATCATGATTAATTGTTTTTAATGTTAAACTGTGCTACTTTCTCTGTTTTAAGATTAAGGCTTTGGTGATTTTTGAAAAGATTTAAAGATCAGAAACTTACAGAATGAAAGAGGAAGGGAACTTTATACTTAAGGTCACCCAAAGTCAGTATTTTATATTAGCTTTCCGGAGCTGAGACTTTCAAAACAAGTTCCTCTTCCTTTTTTTTTAACTTCTATGTTTTTAAATATTTGATTTCCCCCTTTTTCTGTATAGAAAGTTTTACCTTTAGTCTCCTAGTAAACCTCAAAATCATTTGAGTTTTCGAGTGCTGAATTCCAGCATTTCCCCTGTCTTTCCACTTTTTCTCGTATTTTGGTAATGATTTTTGAGCCTTTAGATTCTCTCCAGGAAATTATTTACTGTCAGGTAATCTCAAAAAGTTACTAATAAGAGAGATTAGTCAGAAAATTCACCCCGTTCAGCTTGTAAAATCTATGATAGTAACTTACCAATTGCATATTTCTGGGTTATACGAGTTCAAAAATAAAAACTAGAGAGCACTCAAACATAGTATCAAGCAAAATATCAATAGCATGGATTGAACAAAAAGTAATGCACCTCACAGATATCTCAGAATCTACATCAGGTAAATTAGATCATTTTTGTTGTACGACAGCTACTGTTGTCCCCTTTAAGCATGCCAAATTTCATTCTTAAGTTCTCCTCCGCAGCATGAATCACACCTGCCAGATATCTGCAAAACGTTAATCAAGCAGCAAGTTAACTAACCTTAACTCTCAAGCTGAAATGAAACCTTCCTCGCTTTTTTTTTTTTGTAAAATTAAATCATTCCGTGTAAAAATTAAATCCATATCTTAGACTTGGTCTAAATTTCCAATACGGCCTCAGTTTCTCGTTTTAAAAATTCAAATTTCAAGGGTTTTTCTCTATAAGGCCTTTTTTGCAAATTATCAGCTGTTAATGATCAAAGATTGTGAAAGTGGCTTTTGTTTTTAGTTTGATCTCAAAATCTCAATGATAGCTTGATCTAGTGATGTGTTATCGTACAAAAATAGATTTCCAATTTTAGTTCTAACCAATTCTTCTCTGCAAAATCAACACTAAAGCGTTATCGAAGTGACTCAAATCCAGAATGAAATCATTGAAATTTACGATGTTTTAATTTATTGTTACTTTCTGTTATTGGTTTCCCTGTTATATCTGATCAATAGAGATACATGTATCGTGCTATGAAAAGATTTTCATAAGATCGGCGCTATCTAACATTGAGAGTTTAGCATGCCTTCAAGTATTCTTTATGTTATCTGTGAGTCTACCATTTAACCAACTAAGGAACACTTGTCACCACCAAAACGTAACCCCTACTGTCAAAGTAACCCATCATCTGTCTCTCATTTTCTGACTGAAGCCATATTTTTGGTTATCCAATGCTGAAATTAAATTTATAACCAAAAATATTTTTCAGAATCGGTTCGAAAGACGGAGAGAGGAGGTCCTCCATGTCGATAAAATTGTGTCCAAACATTCTCTATTTCAGCCTAATCTTTCATTCTCACTCTGATCATTTGTTAAGAAGCGTGAATGTTTAAGGAAATGAATCAAGATTGCTTGGTACCATGAAGGTTGAAAGAGGAAAAAAGCAAGAACATAGAAATTGATTACAAGTCACTAAAATTACATCCTGTTGTGCTGGGTTGATGCTTGACTTACATAGGGCCTCAAAAGAGAAGAACCCCTTGAAACCACTTTTTAATTGCTGAACATACAGTCTGCAATGGATCAGTTGCGCCACTCACAGAATCAACCAAAAATAACAAGATTCTTCCCAACACAAAGTTTTCGCGTCCAATTTTAAGGAAGATATCACCCCTCTAACAATGTGGTTTAGGACGTCATCCACTGCGAAAATGCATACCATGGGTTCCTCCTAAGAATTTCACTAATTGATGAATCCAGGGTTGATAAAACCATGATGCGTATCACTGTGGTGGATGACATCATACACCATGTTTTTTGAAAAGCAATAACTATTTCAATATTGCTTGTTGGCGTTTGAACAGCTCTTATTATTTTTTGCTACTATGTACTCAAACCATCAAAACGATTCTGCGACTGGTGCAAGTGGTGCAACCGACCCATTGCTAGGCATATGAGAGGTTGTCAAGTAAAGACTGATCATCATAGCATGGAATGACCTAGTCATACTGGACAAACTCACTTAATGAGAAAAAGGGTCAAATCATGTACACTCCGATTTAGCAATGGTTCTTTTATCTGCTGTTGATGTAATAGATTGAATGATTATCAAAAGTAATGAAAGTCTCTACAAAAGTAATAAATTTGAATACTTGTTTTCTTCTTTTTATACGAAGCTTATCCATTTTCGATTATCATTGTAATTTTTTAAAATTCTTACCGTTGCCTGCACTCTGAATGTCCTCTGAGCTGTTTCAGTGGCGAACTTAGATCATTGACTTCCGCCGAGTTGATGGCCCATCTTAATATATGAGATTGTGTTCAAGTTTGATGATAGCTTAAGCGCTTTGTGTAATTTTCATGTTCCTAGTTTTTCAAATTTCTCTCCAATTCGTTCAAATTCTTCATAAAGAAATGAAATGCTTAAAAACTGTATCACAAGTCTTAGTTGTAGTGAGGAATTAAGGCAAAGAGAGCTTTCAGCCAGAAACTCCAGAGAGTGATTGCCATGTCTATTTGCCTTGTGCTGACGAGCATTTTAAGTTTTTCTCATCAGCTTATTGTGGCTAAATTTTTGTCGAAGTTTGACATTACAAATCGTAAAAAAAAAAAAAAAAATTCAGGATAAAATTCTTGCATGAAATTCACACAACAAAACGACAGTCGAAACAAAAATTGTGTTTCAAATCTCTGAGAAAAAGCTGCTGCGATTTATTATCATTCTGATGACCTCTCTAGTTTGCCTTTGATGAACCGATAAACCTATTTTCGTTCAACTATTAGCAACGATGGTGAAGTTAACTTAACAAGCAATGTCAGCTATTTATAGTAAATAAATGAGAGTTTTAATTTTATACGTAAATAGTAAGTGCGTCTAGCAATTAATTTTCAACATATGAAAAAGATAAAACCAAGATGTGAGCAAAGTCTGGAAAAAATGGAATTTGCAATCTCAGTCCATGTCAAAAAGAAAAAAAAAATTGTTTTTTAATGAGTCTCGTTTTGTCTTGTACTACTGCATTTTTTCCACAGTTTGAATTGAAAATACAAAATTTTATATTTCTGTGGTAATTCTCTCTTTTTTTTTTTCTTTTTTTTTGTTATTCGATCCTTTGCTTCATTATTTTTCCTTCAACAGAAAAAATTTCTAAATTTTTATCATTCCTCTCCCATTGAGAAATATTTTAATTGTAAAAGGTCCACTATTCACTAAGTATTAATCGGAGTCCCAGCAGTTTTAGCCAGATTACTTTTTATGAAACAGCACAAGGTATGATTCGCATACTTCTCCAAGTACATATTTTAATTTCAAGTACCACTTTGGTTTTGATTTCAGTACATATTCAAATGGAAAATACAAATGTATTTTAATTGATCTGCGTACTCTTTTCCAAAGCCACATAAATGTACACATTTCTTAAATCCTAGTTAGCAAGTGACTTAACGTTCCAGCAGATACTGACGGATAATGGAGGAACTGCTATTTGGACGTATGAAGTGGTAGAACCTTTTCGCATTAATGGCATCGCTCTTGAACTTCCAAAGAAACATACGTTTGAACGTTCAAGTTGAAATCGCATAGTAATCTTTCACTTGACTCCATCAATTTTAATGTTGCTTCAGTTTCCTCCATTTAAAACATGAAGTGGTACTGCAAGTCAGTCATGAAATGATAGTTTTTCTTAACTGAGATTCAGTCAGGAATAAGTCTGGGTCATGCATAATTTTTGCATATGCAGGCAGTGGCCTAATACTAATTTGACCTTCAATTTGACACAGCCTTGGTGTAGATTCTTTAAGGTAAGTGCATGAAGTATCTTTCTCAAATTCTGTGCGTACTTTGCATAAAAAGAGTAGCAAAAATTAAGGGTACTACAAAGTCATCACCTCTCAACAGCTATTTCCAAGATATTGATTATTTTTTCCACGATTTTTGCGCATCTGAGACACTATCTCAGAGCAGCAACTACCTGCTGGGCTGATAACTCTCAGCAGCAGCAGAGGTTTTTGGCCTCGCCAGATAATTGCTACCAAGTGCTAGCACCCTGGAGCAGGTGCTAAACAATTGGAACAAATGGACCGGGTTAAACAGAAAGGAACCAAGCCACATCAGCTATTGCCAAATTTAATTGGGCAATTTAAGTTCTTACATGAAAACGGTTGTGCGGATTTTCGTGCAAATTTCAGTGAAAATTCTCCATGGTATGAAGCAAATTCCTTAAAACTTTCAAAGGAATCCGAACAAACGTTCTCTCGTAAAAACTTTAATTGCCCAGTTAAACTTGGCAATAGCTGATGTGGTTTGGTTCCTTTCTGTTAAACTCGCGGTCCAAATATTGATCCCTAAAAGAGATGGTCACCAGCTGGAGTTATAAATGTAGTTACCCCGATCTGTCCTGATCTACTAACTCCAATACGAAATACGGACGAATTCGGAGGGAGATACTTTTTGCACTCCACTTGTCAGGCACAGACACTCGTGTTCCATGAGTACATTTACAGCAGCAGGTTCCCTCAAGAATATGTGACTGGCTGAGAAGAGATTTCATTCATGCAGTTGCAGCATTTATGCACCGTAATTTTCCAAACCTATGCTCAATGGGTCTTGGCATAGTATTAGGATCTTGACATATTTTAAAAATGCAAGTTTGAACCATAACTTTGCACGCAAGCTCTATCTCCCTCTACCTAAAAGCCTACCGTAACCAGCAGGCAAAGTTCCATGTTCGCATAGGTAGGCACAAGAGGGGGGGGGGGAAGCGCCTTCCCCCTGTGTGCCTGAAAAAAAAAGAAGACAGAAATAGGGAAAAAAGAGAGGAGGAAGGGACGGAGAACAGAAGAAAAAAGGACACTTAGGTATGGTAATTGATTGTAACGTAATTAACTCAAACTGCATGTGTAATAGTTTAAAATTTAGTAAATTTTTGGGAGAAAGCCCGCTGGACCTCTTTTCCGTTCCCTCCCCCCCCCCTCCCCGTTCGAAGTGTCAGGATCTGCCTCTGCCTGTTGGAATTTCAAGTCTCAAGACAAACTCTCGACTGGTTCTCGTTTCCTCATGACTGCAGTGAAGCAGATTTCTATAATTTTTAAGTTTAACCTAGTTGTTACAGAATTCTTTTGAGTTTTATAGTTCTGATATCACTTAAGTAAATTTCTCCCCTAGTTTCAATAAAAAATCAAAATACTCCCAATGCTAGTTGAGCAGGTGACAAAAATAAAATATACAAGATTGGTGACGGTTTTCTTTCCTTTCAAATTAATATAGTCATGTTATCCCTTCTTTTCATTTCATTTAGAACAAATCAGTCTCAGATCCTGAAAATGTAGGTGATTACGTTTGTTTCCCCTCGGCAAGCCCAGAGCAATACAGGACTGACCATTATGTCACACGACTAGTATTTGGCGGAACTTCTTAAGCATCCTTCCTGTTCACTTGTTCTGGAACTCAAGTGATTTTTTTTTTGTTCACAAGAATGAAAGAATTTTTCCTCGGACGGTCACAATGGGGCCAGAGGAATGCTGATTCTGGAATCTGTACATGGACACTTCTCCCAAGACTGTGGTCCAGGACTGCTTCCAAAAAGTAAAAATCCTGCTGGAGCAAGTGTACTCAAGCCCTATGACATTGCTGCAATGCAGATTGAATTTTAAACGTCCTACAGGGCATTTAAAAACACACATTCCCGTGATCAATTAATAACAGCGGTAGAACAAAAACAATACCTGGGTTTATTTACAGTATGAAAATTATATTAAGCAATTTTACAATTTTCTACAGCTGCAAGTACCACTAAAATTCAACAGGAGGTAAAATGGACAGTTTTCCCCTGGATCAATGACAGTACAAATGAATCCTTGTCTTATGACACTTTCAAAAAATATAAGAACACAAAAAAGTTTTTAGTTCTTTGTTATTATCTCAAAAGAGCTAAGGCCTTGACTAAGGGTCGTGACTTCTTGATATTTATCTCTACAATTCTTAAGGACATCTAGAGAGATCTATTTTCTTTGTCTTGATACATATTCTGAATGAGGCATACTTTGATCTGTTAAAACTTAAGTACAACTCTATGAAAATTTATGGCTTCATACCTAAGATTTTTCGGCTTGAAGAGGCAGAGAATCAGTGTTTTTTTTTTGGAAAATGTAAGCACATTACAATTTCAATCCCTTCTTACTTTACGAGTATGACAACATTACCATCTGATTCACTTGTGTAAACTGATCTAGAGGCAAGGAGTGCCCAAAAAATTCAGAAACTCAATTATTCCTGAGAACACCAATGCAGAGCAAAATTTCACTGTAGCTGAAAATTGAAACTTAATTATGATATCATTGGATCAATAAAATACTAAAACTTAAAGGTCTTTTTTTGGACCTTGAAGATTCTTGCAAATGGTTGTTGAGTGTTCGATACGTTGACTTGAGGATAATGGAGTTATAACTGCAAATCTCCATCTTCTACAATGAGCTTTTCACCCTTTGCTATCTCTTCTTGCCTGATTTTTTGGAGATCAAACTCCTCCGTTCCCTCATAGGTAAGTCCGGAGAGTTTCACCCTGGTAGCTTTTTTTGCATCATAAAGCCGCAGCCAGTAGTTACCTTTAAAAAAAACAAAAAAATAGGAATAAAGAACAAAAGGGAGCTTAAAATCCACATTCTAGAAAAAACTGTAGTGTTCAGTCTGAAAAATTGAGTTAATATGAATATTATGAAAGCTAGGTATGGACTTCATCAGGAATAAAAAAAGGTTGAGAAAATGTTCAAAATTATTTCACCTCAAAAGTTTTTATATTCATTGATTGCGACTCAGAGAGTTGGAGAGCTCTAGGAGAAATGGAGCAGATGAGAATTTTGCCTGTGAATCCTTGATGGAAGAACAAGATTACCTTGTCTTTCATGATGAACATCTTTAATCATTGCAGCAGCTGCATTGCAAATATTTTGCATAAATTTGATCAAATTAATATGATACTTACCCTCAAATTCATCATTTCCATACTTCTTCCTCTTCTCGGCCTTGTCTTTATCACGCATGGTTGTTGCCATACAAAAAATACCAAAGGCACTTACAGCATATACTGCAGCGAGTCTAAATTTATATTTAGCGGCCGTCTCTTCATCAATGCGTTGTGTATTATGGCGAACGATGCGGTAGAACCATCTGTATCTATTTTGTGGCAACATTTCTGCAATAAGAGAAGCAGAGAAAATGTAAACTTAGACCAGTAAAATTAAAACTTCAATGAGTAATTCCAGCAGATGAATTATGAACTTACAGCAAAATAGAGGAATTAGCAGAGAGCTAGATTCATATTAGAATTGGAGTAATTAATCACACTTCAACTTTAAGGTGATTCAACAGATGCCATTTCTTGTGTCAGAGCGGCGTGCGATATATCGCATCAATTCGTTCCATAATTTCAGGTACTTGTCATTCCTTTCAAATTTTAAGATCGCACTTCTGTTTTCATGAATCTAAAGAATTCATGTACCAAATTTGACAAAGAAATTCAATGTAATGAAGGCAGGGTTTCTTAGAGGAAAAATATTGCATTCGATACTGATATCAAAATTGCACTCGAATGTGATATTTTTTCTCTAAAAAAACCCTGCATTCATTACATTGAATTTCTTTGTCAAATTAGGTACATGAATTCTTTAGACTCATGAAAACAGAAGTGCGATCTCAAAATTCGGAAGAGATGACAAGTACCTGAAATTACAGAAAATCAAATTATGGATTCAATATATCGCATGCTACTCTGACACAGAACATGCTGTCCGTCCAATCACCTTAATACACTATACAGAGTTCTTGAAAAAATTGGAATGATTTTTATACTGCTGTTCTGAGACGCATGAATTGATGTATCTTGATTCACACAGATCTATCATGAAACACCGCGAAACACTCACCTGAATGCTCGTGTTCCTCACCTCATTAGACTCAATATAACAAAGAGAGAAATTTAAGTGACAGCCTTCAGAATTGGAGGTTTACCATCACAAAACAACTGATAAATCTCAAAATGAAATGGATAAAAATATCACAAATAGTGCATGAACTGACCTGCGAGGAGCTATAGCTATTCTGATAAACTTCACCTTCAGAGACAAAGTCACGCAAAAAGACTGGTTAAATATTCGGTCACAAGAAATTGAGAATCGATGTAGAAAGAACGAAAGATCACTTTGCGAAATTCAAATGTGTTTCAAAATTCAAAAGCATGAGGTCAAACTTTATTCCACCACTGATGAGATCTCGAACATCCCTTCCCAACTTTATCACAACATCCGACAACCTATGAACCTAAACCTAACCTCAGAAAAATTCATAACAAAACTGATAATGCCGGAAACGGGTAGAAACGGGATCACCGGATATGAGCCATGAGCTAGATATGAGTAGACCAGAGTAAACAAACCCTTGACGCGCGCAGATTTGAAACCCCTCCTCATCATTATCACCTACTAGCATACGTGCGGCACATACCGCACATACTTATACCGGAAAATATGAAGGTTAAGATAAAAATAATTATAGAAAATGCTGGGAAAAGTATAAATCTCTTAAACTGTTTTAAACTTCGTTGAGCACTAACGATGGGTACTGAGAGCTAGGGCAGGGCAGAGCTAAGAATTTTCAGAGAAGGGTAGGGAAAGGGCACCCCCCCCCCTCCAAAATTAAAAACGTGAACGTGCACGGAGCATTTATGGGCTGTTCTTGAAGAAAAATGTACCTATTGGAGTGGAATTTCAAAGATTTCTCACACTCGTGTAGAAATAAGCAGGACCGGATTGAGCGCTAGTGTAAAAGGCGTTGCGAGCGATCACGAGGGCAATAATCTTAAGAACAATCAAAATCGCGGGTGACAGACCAAAAACATGTCTCTCCGAAAGAGAAAACTTCCTAACTTCCTTCCGATTGACAATACAAACGCAAAACTTGGTGAAAATATCTAGAGTAGGCGACACTTTTTGAGTCCCTTAACGTTTGCAAAATAATGTTAACAGTTACGAAATACGGCGGAAACACGGAAATTCGTGTTTTTGAAATTTAGGGCTGGCTGACACCCGGAACGGCGATGTTACGCGTGTTTTAGGCATCAGCGACTAAAGCTTGCCCCCCCCCTCCCCGGTCCAATTCAAACCATAATCACAGCAGTCAAACGGTGAATAAGTGAATTAATAGAATTTGTGTTGTTAAGATACCGGGTATGATGCGCCTTCACTTTAGCACGTATGCAATCTTTGAGTCTCCTCTGCTTTGGCGCTCTCGTCGAACTAATAGGGAACCAGTGGACTCTTATTGGCATTCAAATTATTACCTATCCTGTGATGTTTTACCCGCAAGGTTTTGAAACGGGTTTACAGGGCCGGATTTAGGGGGTGGCCACATAGGCCGCGGCCCATGGCGGCAAATTCTGTAATTTTTTAAATTTAGCTGTAAAGAAAAATCGGATTCAGAAAAAAAAATTATAAACGAGAAATATGGTGACAAAATCTCTCATTACCTGAGAGTATATCTCTAATTTTGTCGTCTTTCTGTCTTCTGTGATATAGTAGACAGCACTTTGATTAGTCGATTTGGGACTAAGAGAAAAACCGAACACGGAATTTGACCTGGAACGGCGCGGCGCAAAGATGCAATAATGACGAGAACTTGAAATGAAAAGGAGGAACCCTCGGCGCGGCGGTCGGCATGTAACACATAATAGCGCCTCCAAGACTGCATGAATACTTCACGCATTGCGTCAAAGACAGTGTGGCCGCTGCGATCAGCAACGGGCGGCGTGAAACGCATAGCGCCTAAAAGACTGCATGAATACTTCACGCATTGCGTCAAACACAGTGCGTGCAGCAGCGGGCGGCGTGGAAACGTACAGCGCACACAAGATTGTAGGAATACTTTTCGCATTGCGCCAAACACAGTGCGGTCAGCGCAGCGCGGCGGCAGAAGATAAAATTATTAAACCACATTTATGTTTGTTCTTTCATAATTTTTTCGTTCATTTCATATAAATGGAAGGTCTTATCCACACAGTGATAGGTTTATGGAACTTAACTTTCGCGCCATGTTCCGTGAACTTTCGATAGTAGGTAGTGTTGACAGGGCTTTCGCAAAAAATTTTTTCAACATAAGTAAACGCGTCTTATGCACCCCTCCCCCTCCGGCACGTTCACTTGATGGTTTTTATTGATGTTTCAAAACGAATGAGAAGGGGGCGGCAAAATACATGCGGTCCATGGGCGGCAAGTAAGTAAATCCGGCCCGGCGGGTTTAGAGTTAGGAGGATGGTAATTTAAGGAGGCTGCAGCTTAGGTGGTTAATTCCGGGTGGCGGAAAAAAGGAGATCTCAAGTTTACCTACATAGAGGAAAAGCGAGGGAGGTAAAGGATCTACACGGAAAGGAATACGGGAATTTTGGATAGCATGGAGACAGCAACAATATGTGAGTCCAATAGGTCTGTTTCAGTAGAGTCCCTTTATACTGAGAGTCAAGACAATGCGAATCCATTTCTGATTGGTTAACCGGATTTTAGGCCTTCACAGTGTCACAAACGGGAATAAAGATTACACTTTCACCGATTGCAAAGATTATAATCTGGAATGGACATGGAGGAATTTCGGGTTCGACAAGGAACAAACGGAATGAGAGAAGGAACGGAGAAAGGAATTTAAGAGTGAGCCGATCAAAGATTACGAAAAACGTTCAATTTGTGTAATCTTAATTCCCGTTTGTGACTCCATGAGGGGTGTTGTCTTGACTCTCAGTATAAAGGGACTCTATGTTTCAGAGGCAAAACAGAAATGGGAAGTGAAAACCTGAAGTGAAAAGTGAAAACCGGCGATAGGGGGTAGCAACCGGAAATGGGGAGTGAAAACCAAAGGTAGAAAGTGAATACTGGAAGTTGAAGGTATAGAAACCGGAAATGAGGAATACAAATTGAAAGTTGAAGGTGCCAACCGGAAGTGGAAAGAGTATACGTCGATTATGAGGTGAAAAACCAAAGTGGAGGAGAAAATTGGAAGCGAAAAGTAAAAACTGGAAAAATTAAGTGAAAAAATTGTAATAGGAAGTGAAAATCGTAAAAGGGAAGTGAAAACTAAAAGTTGAGGGTGCAAACTGGAAGTGGAAAGTGCAAAATAGGAAGAGAAAACTCGAGGTAGAGAGCAAACCAGAAGATGAACTGAAAGTAAAACTGAAAAAGGAAGTGAAACCCGGAAACAAGAGGTGAAAATCGTAAACGGGAGGCGGAAACTGGAAGTGGAAGGTTGAAACCAGAAGTGGGAAATGGAAACGGAGAAAGGGAGTAAGTAGACCGGAGCTAAGAGGTGAAATATGAAGCAAATGGTGATAATCGGAGATGGAAAGTGAAAACCGGAAGTGTAAGAGAAAACCGAAAATCGCAGAATAAACTAAACGCATAGTATTCCATCTCTGAACCTGAACTCATGGTTTCCGTTTGTGACAAGTCAACTCTCTCACTCACAGCTGAGAAACCTGTAGAAAAGGGCCCTGGGTTTCCAGATGATGCTGTTTTGACCTTAATAACTGGTAGAATTAAAAATATATTTTCAGTGTGTGGGTGGTTTCATCGACGCACATTAGAGTCCTCATGGCATGGCACTCTTGGCAAGGAATTATAGGTATAGGAAACTGCAAGAAACGCTCTTAGCAAATTTTGCCTCCGATTACAACTAGCAGTGCGTCCGAAATTCAATGAATTTAAAATTCTGAATGAAAACTTCTGCGAGAACGAAGCACAAGAATAATGTCTTAGGTTTCTAAATTGAACTGCTATTGTAGGAGGTAAGTATGACAAAAAAATCTGATCTACTATAATATGTGATTAAATGGGGAATGCATCAGCATCCTTAAGATGTCACAAGGCGGCCATACGAGTATTCTCACTTAAATCCGTTTTCATAAATTCCCCAAAACAGAAAAAGATTGGAGAAAATGCACTTCATCACGCACTTTCAGAGAAAGCAATACATTTTTTGCTTGCGAATTATCCAGCTTTTTTAAAATATTTGATCTTTTAACTTCTATTTCTCGGTTCTTTTTTTCCCATTATCTCCTGTATACCTACCTATTGTTTCTGTAGTACGTGCCTGACAGAAAGTGGCCTGCTTGTTACTTCCAGTTTACGAGGATCATACTGAGCCTTCAAATGAAAAGATAGGCAAAAGTGGATTCTCGAGAGCTGGAATAGTTGTATTTACATTAAACGATAACAACACGACTTGAATTGATAAATTCCTCTGCGCGACGAAGAAACACTCTATGAGCACTCAAGCCTTGACGAATTTTTTCGAGTGAATACGAATTTTTTGGAAAACTTTGAACTTTTCAGTTTGAATTCGTCATGGAAATTTCCGCGCAATTCAATCCATATTGATTTTAAAACGTTCTAGGAATCATAATAAATCAAACTTTCGCCCAAAATAAATATTTTATTCGAAGAAATTTGGCAACATCTAAATATTTTCACGGCATTCTTTCTAAAAATGACGAAATTGGTGATTATATTACAAAACGACATCACACAGTGAATCCTGATTATATTAATCCGCTTAATTTCAACCTCTGGGAGAGACTGCACATCGACGGTGAAAGTGCAAGGATGCGCATTTTGGTTGCGGTGTTTGAAAATCTCCGCTATAATTTATTTTTTCCAAGGAGACCAATTAAACCAACGCCATGACTTAAACTTTTCCCAGGATATTCTTTGCAAAGAGAAGAAAAATCACCGACATTTTCAAAACATGACGTTCAGACATGGTTTTCTATTTAGAAAGTGAAGTATGACAGAAAAGTCTGCAACGGCGCAAACCAAGATATGCATTTCTGAAGTTCCACCATCGATATGTCGTTACCAAAGGACTTTCCGCCAAAAAAAAGTATGCGATGTCGCCAGTGGCGTAACTACCGTACCTGCCGCCACGGCGCCACCGCCGGGCGGGGGGGGGGGGGGGGGGAGAACAAAAAATTGGGAAAAGAAAACGGGAAAAAGAAGGAGACAAAGAGAAAGAAAAAGAAAAAAAGAAAGAGGGAAGAGAAGGAGAAAGAGAGAGAGAGACAGAAAAGACGAAGAAAGAGGAAAGCAAGGAGAACAAGTACTTAACACTCCCACGGGTGATTTCATGAAAAATTTTGATCATGCAAACATTTCATGTAAGTTTCACATGTTTTCATACTTTTTTCGGACTTGAATTTCCTCTTCACTTTTCTTCTTATTCTCTTAACGATACCTTGATTTTCTCCCATTTATTCAGATCTGAGTGACTAGACGGGCAGGGGGGGGGGGGGGGGGTTCG